TATGTTCAGTCTCTTCCTCCCTCCCTTTCCCCGATAGTAAATCCCTTTTCAGATAGTAAATCAGTTACTTAGCATTTTCTCATATCAATAATACCTCCACATGCCCAATGATACACTTCACACAAAAGACATTTCCAAATAGGTCAACTAGCCTCATCCAGGCCCCACCCAAGGCACTCACAGATCAACACCCCAGCGCTATACTAACTCAACACATCTAGATCTAAGCCTTCATCACTTGATTCAGCAGACCCTCAAGTTCCCGCAAAAGTTTCCAGCCATGTCTGAGAGGCAGCCGTGGGGCAGGGGCAGGCGAGGAGCGAGCTGTTCCGGGCCTGGCTGCTCCGGGCCTGGCCTCTGTTGCTCTGGTTCATTCCACAACCAGCTGCTCCGGGTCTGGCCACTGCTGCTCCCGACCTAGTTGCTCTGGACTTGGTTGCTGCTGCTCCGGGCCTGGCCGCACTCGACCCGACTGCTCTGGGCCCGGATGCTCCGGGCCCGGCTGCTCCCAGCCTGGCCGCTCCCAGCCTGGCAGCCGCTGCTCCGGGCCTGGCCGCTCCCAGCCTGGCAGCCGCTGCTCCGGGCCTGGCCGCTCCCAGCCTGGCAGCCGCTGCTCCGGGCCTGGCCGCTCCCAGCCTGGCAGCTGCTGCTCTGGGCCTGGCCGCGCCCGACCCGGCTGCTCTGGGCCCGGCTGCTCCGGGCCCGGCTGCTCCGGGCCTGGCTGATCCCAGCCTGGCAGCCGCTGCTCCAGGCCTGGCCGCACCCGACCCGGCTGCTCCGGGCCTGGCTGCTCCCAGCCTGGCAGCCGCTGCTCCGGGCCTGGCTGCACCAGACCCAGCTGCTCTGGGCCCGGCTGCCCCGGGCCTGGCCGCTCCAAGCCTGGCCGCTCCCGGCCTGGATGCTCCGGGCTTGGCTACTGCTATTCTGGGTCTGGCTGCTCTCATCCCGGCTGCTCTGGGCCCGGCTTCTCCGGGCCTGGCCACTCTGGGTCTGGGTGTTTCTGGACTGGCCACCCTGGGCTTGGCCACCTCTGCCTCAGGCCTGGCTGCCACTGCCCCAGGTCTGGCTGCTCTAGTGCTGGCTGTTGATGCTCTGGTTCTGGCTGCTGCTGCTCTGGGGCCTGGCCGTTGCTGCTCCGGACCTGGCTGCCACTGCCTTGTGTCTGGCCACTCTAGGCCTGGCCGCTGCTGTTCCAACATTCTGTCCTTTTTTTTCTTTTTTTTTTTTTAAACGCATTTATGTTGCAATGTTGGCTCGTGATTTGAGTTCTGACTTAGTCTTTGATTTTTCAAGAACTTCTTTGTATTCTTTCTTAAGTAATTTTACTATCTTTTGCTCTCACTTGATTTCTTCACATTGAGAACTTCATTGGTTTCTTCCTCCTTGTCCTGGGAGCTCAGCAGGTTGGCCTGTGGCACCCCTTTGTTCTCCGCGGGCTCCTGCGCTGCTTTAGCCTGTTGCCTGGGACGGCGCCGCCCAGGAAGCATCCCCCGGCCTTGGCTCCATTGCCCGCGCTCAGTGGTCGAAGGTTCAGGGGCACCCCCCACCCCTGGGGGCCCCGTCGCCCGGCTCCTTGCTGGCGCCCGGCTGGCCAGTGTCCAGCAGGAGCTCCTGCTCCTGGTCGCGTTCCTCCAGTCTGGAGCTTTTTTTCTCCTTCCCGCTAGGGGAGTCTAGCATCAGAGTCAACAGACTGTCCTCTGCGCGCAGTGTGCGCGACTCTGGGAGCTCCGCTTTTCGCCGCTCCCCCAGGATTCCGCCTCACAGCCCTGTCTCCCCCTGCCTGAGCCTGGGTCCCCAGGGTCTGGCCTAGGACTGGGGTTCAGAGCAGTGGAAACTGGGGCCCAACACAGCCGGGGCTCCTGTTTCCTTCCCTCCAGGGCAATCCCGCATCAGAGTCAACATGCCTTCCCTTACAAGCAATGTGCGCGACTCCTGGGGCTCGGCCTTTCACCGCTCTCCCAGGACTCCACCTCACAGCCCCGTCTCCCTCTGCTTGAGCTTGGGTCCCCAGGGATTGGCCCAGAACTGGGGTTTGGAGCAGTCCAGACTGAGGCTCAGCGCCACCGGAGGCTTTGTTTCTTCCCGCTAGGGCAATCCTGCATCAGAGTCAACATTCAGTCCTCTGCGCGCATTGCGCGCGACTCCGGGCACCCTGCTTTTCGCCGCTCTTCTGGGATTCCGCCTCTCAGCCCTGTCTCCCCCTGCTGGAGCCTGGGTCCCCAGGGTCTGGCCAATAACTGGGGCTCAGTGCTGCTGGTTCGGGGGTTCAGCCCAGGCTGGGGGTTTTATTTCCTTCCTGCTATGGAACGCCAGGCAGCACCCAGCCCTCTCCTCCTCTCCGGCCGCGTCCTCTCTGGCTGTGACCTCTCGGCGCGCGCATGCGTGCGGGCGGGCTTGCAGCATGTCCCTGTACCTTAGGCTTTTTTTCAGCTCCTCTGATTTTCCTTCTGGTTTTCTCTTTCCTTCTTGTTGTAGAATTTTCAGTCAGTCGACTACCTGTAGCTCTGGGCAACGTCCACTCTACATTTTAGTTGTATTCCATTGAAATTGTTGTGTGCTGCTGCGGTTAGGTGTCTACCTGAGCAGCCATCTTGGATCCTCCTTCTGCCCATTTTTTAACCGTATTGTTTGTTTTTGCTATTGAGTTGTATGCATTCTTTATATATTTTGAATATTAACCCCTTATCAGACATGTAATTTTTCCCCAGTTAGTAGTTGCCTTTTCATTTTGTTGTTTCTTTTGCTGTGCAGAAGCCTTTTAGTGTGATATAGCCCCCCTTCCTTATTTTTGCTTTTGTGGCCTTTGCTTTTGGTGTCAGATTCACTTGTAGTTCTTTAGGGCAGGAAATGACTCATGGTTATCTGATGGAAAATCTATAAAAGTAGGCAAAATTCTGCCTCTCAATTGGCAAGAATTTTAACTACACCAGTTAGGGCCAATAAAGCCACATTCTAAGAGGCTAGTATTTATATTGGTGTAAACCATATGCACCTGTATCTGCCTTTCTCTGGAAGAGGTAGGCATCACGTATGCGTCCATGTGGCAGGCCAGCTGTTTGAGAAATAACAATACAGTTGTCAAATTCCTGTGATTAATGACCCTTAATTTGTTTAATCTTTGTATATATAGGTGCAATAATGTATTGAATATTGTATCTAAGATGTAGATCACTACCTCCTCCCTTATGTGTCCTAACTTGAGAAGGCTGGGAGGGTGGGGACCCTGCTGGAGTGGAAGCATTTGTGCCATGTCCCCTAGTCTCCTGGAAATGTTTATCACTTGAAGTGGTGAACTAGGCCAGGGGTGCCTCTTAAAAGCTCACCCTGCAAGATCATCGGCTGAGCGTGCGGAAGCCAGCTAGAACAGGAGGCCTTGGGCCACATGCCCAGGACTGAGTATAAGACAGAGTCCTTAGGAATTGAAGTTCATGCCCTGTTTTGGGGGTTCCCCCTGTTGGAGACATCTCGCACAAGGCCAGTATTGGGATTCTCTTACATGAATGAGGAGGGAGCAGACGGCCAGGATCCATCATGACTACAAAGGAGTTAGAGAAAGAAAACACAGGCTGAGCTGGTAGGTGGCGTGGAGTCCACGTTCAGCTTTTGCTCGCCAGGAGCAGTTGGACAGCTTGTGGGACTGAGCTTAGTTCTCTGCGCACCCCCACCCCCTCCGAGCCTCCTCTCCTCCCAGCGGACAGCATCCTTCCCGAGGTGAACTCTCCCAGTGACCCTGTTCCTCCATCTCGTGCCCCTTCTACGTGGCTGGCAGGACAGATGGAGCACAGCCACGAGGCTTGCATCCCAGGAAGGATCCGGAAAGGAGCCGAGTCCGAGGGGAGCAGACCTGAGTGGGTCTAAATGACTCCCATCTCGCTGCCGTCGGCCGGGCCTGGTCTTTTGGTTCCAGGTAAACGTACCTGTGAGACACGGAGCCTGTGCTGAGGGAGAGCCAGGTGCCTGGGTTTGGGAATGAATCCCTTTCCTGGAGAGCCCGTGAGAGGATGGTCAGCGACAAGCTGGGCGGGGAGCGAACCTCCCCAGCTCAGCAGCAGCAGCTCCCTACAGGTCCCTGACCTTCTCGGCGGAAACGTTCTTGGCGGCTGCAACCACAATAGGTTCTGACCATTAAGTGAACGGACATGATTTGTAGACTCAAACACGGGCTTTTGACACTTGGAATAAGCATCTAACAGGCAGGCTGGATCCCTGTCCTTAAGGAAAAGAGCCACAGCTGGACTGAATGCAATGTTTAATGTAAGATACAGTGAATTGGCGGAGCTGGTACAAAATGACGAGATTCAGTTCTAGTCAGTGAGTCAACAGCCTAGGCATCTAGAAAAAAAACTGGCCCTGCTGTTCCGTCCTTGAGGCCCCCTGCTCGAGGCTCGCAGAGTGCTAGCTGCTACCTGAAGGCGTGGGCAGGAGCCGTGTTCCCAGTTCCCGAAGGGGAAGCAGGAGGCGGGCTGGCCCCGTCACTGCAGCAGGTGTGACGCTCGGGACAGGCTGGAGGGACGAGGGGTCAGAAATGCACATGGGACAGGGGTGCTATTCATTCGCTACATGCAGGGGTCCGAGAGGCTAGGAGCTCGAGTGGTCAGCCTGCCCACTTCCTACCCGTGTGCTTCGCCTCTCGTTTACAACAGGAAGAAGACCATTCCATGAAAGACAAAAGGTCTTTCTAGAAATGTGTTTGGCATAAGCTGGTGCCACTGCTAGTGCTGCCAGTGGCCAGGCACAGGTTCAGAGGCCCCGAGGAGTGGACGGGACCGAGGCTTTGCAGGCAGAGCAGGTCCCTGCCTCGGGAGCCCCGAAGGTAAAGGCCGTGCAGGGAAGAAGTTCCCCTCTTTGGTCAGGCAAAGGCCCTGGCCAGGGCCGGGAGGTAAGAGGGCCGAGGGGCACAGGCCCTGCCTCAGGCCCTGGCGTTTGGCTCGTCGCATTGAGGCGGTGATGTGGCAGGAGGCGAGGCGGAGGGCAGCAGTGAGGCCGGGCACCCCCTGCTCCTAGGAGCTGCCTTTGTCCTTGTCATCCGTCAGGTCGTACCTGTGGGAGCAAGCAGAGAACAGTCAGGTGTAACGTCGACTCTTGTGTCTTCTTAGAAATGAGACACGAGCCGAAACCGGCTTGGCTCAATGGATAGAGCGTCGGCCTGCGGACTGAAAGGTCCCGGGTTCGATTCCGGTCAAGGGCATGTGCCTTGGTTGTGGGCACATCCCCAGTAGGGGCCATGCAAGAGGCAGCTGGTCTATGATTCTCTCTCATTGATGTTTCTATCACTCTCCCTTTCTCTCTGTAAAAAAATCATAGAAAAATATATTTTATTGATTTTTCACAGAGAGGAAGGGAGAGGGATAGAGAGTTAGAAACATCGATGAGAGAGATACATCGACCAGCTGCCTCCTGCACATCGGGGATGTGCCTGCAACCAACGTACATGCCCTTGACTGGAATCGAACCTGGGACCTTTCAGTCTGCAGACCAATGCTCTATTCTCTGAGCCAAACCGGTTTCAGCAAAAATATATTTTTTTAAAAAAGAAAAAAAAAAAAACGAGACACGATCTAAGAGCTTTTTGGTTCTCGGCTCAGTCTGCACCCTTTTCCCCTTCCTGTTTGGGATTTCTCCTACTGAGTGTCTGGGCCATCCCCTAACCGCAGGCACTCACCACTGGGCCGCACCCTGGGACAGGTCTGTCTCCGCGAGGTCCAGCTGCACCTGTTTGGAGGAGGCGAAGGCAGGACGTCACTTCGATAGCTCCAAGACTGTGTCCCCTCACCTCACTTCCCGTCCCGAACCAGTGCAGAGGGCACTGGGTGACCACCGAGTGATGCCGCTGGGCGTGCTTCCTCCCTGGCATGAGGTGGCCAGATCGTCCCGATTCTGAACTATTTTCCCCGCGTCCCGCGCGTTTTAAAAAAGTCCCGATTTTTGGACGAAAATCGGGACTTTTTAAAAACGCCGCGGGACACGGGAGAAATCGTTCAAAAGCGGGCCTGTCCCACCAAAATCGGGACGCTCTGGCCGCCTTGCCCAGCAGGGACGGCAGCCTTGATGCCAGCGGCTCCGCACGCTCCCCTCGGCCGGCCGGCCGGCCCCTCACCTTTCCCAGCAGCTCCCGCTCCCTGGACATGAAGGACGAGCTGGACTTCACCGAGACCTCCAGCTTCCGCCGCAGGGCCTCCTCCAGGGGCAGCTCCCACTCGAACCTGGGCGGGAGGGGCGTCAGGGCGGGGCCCTCCTCCAGCCGCCCCCCCCCCCCCCCCCCCCCGCGCCCCGGACTGACCGCTCGTTGAACTCGGGATTGAGGGTCCACCTCTTCTGCGAGGTCTTCCTCTTGGAGCCGCGGCTCTTGTCCGGGTGCAGCAGCAGCGACACGTAGGGGTCGGGGGGGTCCCGTCCGTTCTGCCGAAGGGACCTGCAGCGGGGACGGAGGTGCTGAGGCCGCGCGGGGGGGCGGGGGGCGGGGGGCCCGGGCCGCGGCCGGGGTCTCACCGGCAGCTGTGAACGATGCCGATCAGCTTCCGGTCTTCGCTGTAGTACCACACGGTGAGCTTCACCTGGCCCAGCGGCCCGGCCGGCGCCTCCGCGGGGCTGTGCGGGGCGGAGGCAGGTCGGGGAGGAGGCAGAGCCTGGGGCACCTGCAGCGCATCCTTTCTATTCCCGATGCGCCCCATCTCCCCCCACCCCCCACCCGCCCAGGCTTCACCTGTCCCCGTGGGTGAGGCGCTGCCGGAGCTCCGGGGCCGAGGAGGTGGCGTGAGGCAGGCCCCCCCAGGACTCCAGCTCCTCGCTCACGGAAGAGGAGCTGTGGCTGTGGCTGTGGGCTTCCACTCCCGAGTGCTGGGACACCAGGATCTAGGGGCGCAGAGAGCGGTGAGCGGGGCAGAGCTCTGCTCCGCCCTCTGCCCCCCCCCTTCCTGCCCCCCCCCCCCCCGCCGGCACTCACCCCCAGCTGTGCTCTCAGCAGCACCTGCCCTTGACCGTTGTTGAGTGCAAACCAGCGGTCCACGCAGAGCTGCTCAGCCCCAAGGAGCTCCGAGAGGGGCAGGGACAACGAGCCCAGCGCACCGGAGCCCTCACCCCGAACCTGTGGGGCAACAGCGCTGTGACCAACAGATGAGGATCGAACCCCAGGCTCCGGGCCCAAACCCCAGGCCTCGCCGGTACTGGTGAGAGACTCCCTTTTGTGAAGGACAGGAAGCCCTGGGGACAGCGGTGGCTCCCACAACCTCCCTTCCCTTCTTAACCCGAGTAGGCCATCCTATCTTTACTTCCCCGCTGTTACAGATTATACCAGAAATCCCTGCACAGGGAGGAGGAGGAACAGTAAAAACCGAATTACGCTGAAAGTAAATGTCTTCCATCCTATCCCTATCTTCATACTCCAAATATTAACATTCAAAACCTCCCATTTTCCTTTGTTCGAACATAATCCCAATTAACAGGCCTATATCTCTACTTCATGATTTGCCAGCTTCGGTACCCACCGATTCCCTGCTAGGTGAGATGAGGAACTGAGCTCATTTAAATCTCTACCTCTGCTCCTGTTATTTTTCTTTTTTCAAAAAATATATTTTATTGATTTTTTTTTACAAAGAGGAAGGGAGAGGGATAGAGTTAGAAACATCAATGAGAGAGAGACATATTGATCAGTGCAGCTGACCGATGTGGCTCTCTCATTGATGTTTCTAACTCTATTCAGGCCCTTACCTAGCAGGGGCTCTTGCACGCCCCCTACTGGGGATGTGCCCGAAACCAAGGTACATGCCCTTGATCGGAATCCAACCTGGGACCTTTCAGTCTGCAGACCGACGCTCTATCCACTGAGCCAAACCGGTTTCGGCAGGTCGCATTATTTTTCTATCAACTTTCGAAGGAATCAGATTACTCCATCAGAGGAGGAAGTCAGCTCTCCTAAGTGACCTTTCGCCTTCCCGGTCCCTCCCTCCCATACCGCTTCACATTTTGTTCACCCTTCACCCCACTGATACCTAGTTTCCACTCCATTTATCCCACCGACGTTGCTGCAATAACCAGCGACCTCCTAGTTTTCAGAGCCAATGACTAATTCTCTGTGATCTAATTTTACCTCGCAGCAACGCCTGGCCACTTCCTGTCTTTCGAAAGACTCTCCTTTCGGTCCCCCTCACCCACTCTCTCCTGGCGCGTGTCCCACTGCCCTGGCCACACCTCAGGCCTGCGGGAGCTCTGACTCCCCGTCTGCCCTCTCGTTGTCACAGGGCCCAGCATGGCCATCCTCCGTCCTTTCACAGACCCTTAGGATGTCCTACGCTCATGCTGGCAGCTGCCACCTGTTGCCTGCTCATGATGCTCCAAGAACATCAGAACAGGCCATAGATCTACCTCCTGGATGGCTCTGATCTCAAAAAAGCTCCTCCTTTGTGCATTCCCAGTGTTGTCAACGGCACCTTCATCTGTCCAGCCACCCATGCTAGGAAACCAGGAGTAAGCATGGAGGCTGTTCCTGGCTCCTCCTTCCCCTCCAGGCCAACCCCCCCACATACCATCTGCCTGCCATTTCCTGCTTCAGTTACTCTAGTTCATAACTGGGCTACCTGTCCCAGCGTTGTCCATTCTGTCCTGCTCCTCAAGTACAAATCTGGATATGTCACCTCTCATTCCTTCACATGTTTCCCTATGCTTTTTAAAAAAAATATTTTATTGATTTTTTTTTCTATGTGATTTTTCTTTTATTGGGGAAAAATATTTTATTGGTTTTTTACATAGAGGAAGGGAGAGGGACAGAGAGCTAGAAACATCGATGAGAGAGAACCATCGACCAGCTGCCTCCTGCACACCCCCCACTGGGGATGCACCCGCAACCAATGCACATGTCCTTGACTGGAATCGAACCCGGCACCCCTCAGTCCTTAGGCCGACGCTCTATCCACTGAGCAAAACCGGTTTTGGCGTTTCCCTATACTTTTAAGATAAAATCCAAATTCTTAGCATACTATTCAACACCCTCATGATGGAATAGTATGCTCCCTGCCTGCCTCCCTAGTCTATAATTTGCCTTCTTTCTCCTCCAGTCTTTTCTCAGACGGAAGAGCTTTCCTGGCCAGAGCCCGTTTATCTGTCAGCTCAGGGGCCAACTAAGGATGCCTTTCTTACTGCCGCCCTTTCCCCTCGACGGAGCTGGCACCAATCCCCCTTAGTGCCTCTTAGCTCCGCAGGTACCGGTCTGGAAGTATTCTCTGGTTATTTTTCTTCCAAAAGAGTGTGAGCTCCATAAAGATAAGACCTGGACCTTTTACCTCTGAAAGCCCTGCGTCTCAGGGTGAGGACACTGGTCTCGGAACGCCCGTGGCTGTGCCTGGGTCACCGCGGACCGGCACACTTCTGTAGGAAGGATTTACGGTACCTGCACCTCCAGGCTCTCCGTGTTCGGTTTCCTGATGAGGAAGGAGGCACACTCGTCCCAGATGGGGGCTGCCGTCTGGGGAACAGTCTGGCGGAGAGGAGGGGAAGAGCAGTGGTGGGTGGCCTCTCCTGGACTCCTCTTACCCCCCCCCCCTCCCTGCAGCACTTCCGGATACCTTAGTTTTATGAGAGGCTTCTCCCACGGTGAGAGTAGCATAAGGGCTGGGAGGCTTGGTACCTTTTCGGAGCTAGAAAGAGAACATTGTGTTAAGTACTAAATATTTAGTATTTAATATTTTTAAAAAATATATTTTATTGATTTTTCACAGAGAGGAAGAGAGAGGATAGAGAGTTAGAAACATCGATGAGAGAGAATCATCGATCAGCTGCCTCCTGCACACCCTCTACTGGGGATGTGCCCGCAACCAAGGCACATGCCCTTGACCGGAATCGAACCTGGGACCTTTCAGTCCGCAGGCCGACACTCTATCCACTGAGCCAAACCGGTTTCGGCTAGTATTTAATATTAATGTTAAAAATTGTCTTAAATTGGGAGCAAGTCGGGCAGACTCCCCTCTCCTCTCACAAGGTCTATCCATCGCCAGCATCATGTCCCTATTATCACCAACAGCCACCACCCTCCTTGGACAGACAATTCTTCCTATCCCAGCGCCTCCCTGGGAAGGAGAGGAACTCAGAATTTACCGTTATTCCTAACACACAGGAGCATCCAAACCCGAGGGAGGTGGGAAGTGGGAGGTGAGAGGAGGGAGGTAAGAGGTGGGAGGGAGGAGGCGTGAGGTGGGAGGTGGGAGGTGGGAGGAGGGAGGAGGAAGGTGGGAGGCCGGAGGAGGGAGGAGGGAGGTGGGAGGAGGGAGGGGGAGGGGGGAGGGGGGAGGGAGGTGGGAGGGGGGAAGAGGGAGGAGGGCCAGGGAGCCAGGGGGCGGGGGTGGGGGAGATCTCACCGGAAGGTCCTCTGCCCGCTCCAGGTAGACGGACAGCAGGGCGGCTGCCAGCTCTCCGCTCTTCTGCGTCTGGATCAGACTGTTCACCTGCAGCACCTGGGGCGGGGAGCGCTGTGAGCCCTGGGCCGGGCGCTTGCCTTAAATCAGCGGGAATGTCCGCCTGGACCCTCCGGGCCCTGCCTCCCTCCCGCTGCCCTCACCTCCTCCAGCTCAGCAGCGGCGGGGCGGGGGGTCAGACGCTCCAGGCGCAGGTGCAGGCGGCCAGACGGGACGTCCTCCAGGGTCAGCCACTGCGGGAGCGGCGGGGTTCAAGTTCGCGGTGCGGGGACCGAGGGACCGTGAGGATGAGACTGTGTGGGTCGGGATCCGGAGGGACTGCGATTCTAAGCCCAGGCTCACCTCATCAAGGAAGCCGCTGTTGAGGACCGCGGTGAGGCTCACTTTACACCTGTCCGAACAGGGAAGCCGGGAGGTCAGCGCCAAGTCCGTCCGCCGGAGGCCAGCCTCCGAGGCCTGCCTCCCCGCCGGCTCCTCTCTCACCTGCCCAGGAAGTCGTCCTTGTCCAGGTCCTTGTCAAAAACCTCCACCCCGAGCTCCTGGCCTGGGATCGACGTGACGATCACCTGGGGGAGAAAACGGTGCGGACAAAGGGGATTCTCCTCCGGATGCCAGAACCTCTCCGCCCGCCCCGGGACCGAGCTCCGTGGGCCGCGCTTGGAGGCGGCGTAGCCACTCGGTTCTGACCTCAAACACCTCGTTCCAGCGGGGGTTGAGGTCCTCCCGCACCACGCGGCTCCGCAGGCTCCGGCCTGCCAGCTTCAGTTTGACGTAGGGGTCGGACTTGCCCTTCACCAGCCCGCCCAGGAAACGGTCTTTGGCGATCAGGTCCTGGGCCTCCAGCACGTGGATCCGGAGAACGTTCTGCAGAGAGGGACGAGGCGCCCGATGGTGAGGGAGGGGTGGCGGCCGGGGGAGCCTGTCGGAGCCCCGCACGGGCCCTCTCCCCCGCGGAGACCCACCTCGGCCCCGAAGTGGCTGTCGGGAGTGGTGTGCCGGGGCCGCGGCGGGGCGTCCACGCTGCTGCCGGGCTGGGGGCTCTCGCGGTCCGGGTCGGAGGCACCGGTGGCCGCGGGGAAGCGCACTTCTGACGAGTCCAAGTACAAGATCTAGGAGGGGAGGGTCATGGTCGAATCAGAGCAGCGCAGCCGGCCCCCGGCAGGCCGGTCTGGGGGGGACCCAGGGGCAGAGCAGGGGCTATAATGGGGAAACCAGGTCCCATCTCTCCGGCTCCTCTCTATGGGGTTCCCTCCACCCTATCCTCTTCAGACGCCATGGCCTCCCGCCATCAGACTGACATCCTTCGTGCGCCTGCCAGGCGGTTCCACATGCACCAGCTCATGTATCCTAGAGGTCAGCGCCCCCCGCCCCTCCCTTTACTCTTAGCACCAAGGAACCCAGCCCCCCACACCCTCTGCCTCCCCCGCCTCCTACCCTCATAACCACTTTCATGTAGAGCCTGGAGCCTGGACCGGAGCCGCTGAGCTGGAACCACTGGTCCAGGGTGAGCTCGGAGGCCGTCAGCAGGCGGGCCAGGGGCAGGGTCAGCGCCCCCAGCGTCACGGCCCTGGAGTCGTCCTTCACCTGCAGGCGCGGAGGAGAGCAGTGAGGAGACACGGGGGACGGGGAGGCCCCCGGGAATTACATGGTAGCACCTTCCGTCTCTCCGAGCCAATCACAGACCTTCGGCCCTGCTCTGGGCCAGCTTTTCACAGTCCTCTGCCCACCCATGCCCCTTCTGCCTGTGCTCATCCTGTTCCCATTACCTGGAACGTTCTCATCCTCCTCTCTGCCTATTTAAATCCTCCTCATCCTTCAAGGCCCACATAAAATCCTCCTTCCCTCACAGAACCTTCGGTTACTCCAGCCTCTGCACCTTTCTCTGGCCATCGTAGCCCTCTGCGATGGGTATTTTACTCCCACTATTCAATATCTAATCCTCTGTGGGGGACTTGACCTGTCTATGTCTTGTCTATGAAACCAGCCAGTAGGCTTCACGAAGGCAGGCGCTCTTTCATGCTTTTCCTATGACCTTTCAAACACCAGGTACCCAGCCCGGCTGAGTGACCCGGGTGACTCAACTGCTGATACGCCAAGATTGTGGGTCAATCCCCAGTCAAAAAAAAATTTTTTTTTAATATATTTTTTTATTGATTTCAGAGAGGAAGGGAGAAGGAGATAGAGATAGAAATATCAATGATGAGAAAGAACCACAGATCAGCTGCCTTCTGCACACTCCCTTGCCCCCCTGGGGATCAAGCCCACAACCCAAGCATGTGCCCCTGACTGGAACCCTGCAGTCCCACAAGCCAACACCTTATCCACTGAGCCAAACCACCTAGGGCATTTTTTTTTAAGTGCCCTGGCTGGTGTGGCTCAGTTGGTTGAGCATCATTCCATACAGTAAAAGGTCACCAGTTCAATTCCTGGTCAGGGAACAAGCCCAGGTTGCAGGTGCATGAAGCAACCAGTCAATATGTCTCTCTCACATTAATGTTTCGCCCACCTAATCCCCTGCCCATCTCTCCTCCTCCCTCCCTCCCTTCCACTCTATCTAAAAGCCAATGGAAAAAATATCCTCAGGTGAAGATTAATAACAAACAATAATAATACTAGGTACCTTATAGATAATGTTCTTTGTTTTTAATTCGAGCACAATTTACAAATTTACATACCATAAAAATCACTCTTTTTAGGTGTACAATTCTCAGTTATAAAAAACTAGAGGCCCAGTGCATGAAAATTCATGCACTGGAGGGGGGTGTCCCTCAGCCCAGTCCACCCCCTCAGGGGCAGGAGGTGACCTGGCGAACAGGGGAAGGCAATGCCCCCATCACACCTCAGCTGCTGCCACTGCCGGCAGCACAAGCCTCAGCCAGCCCTGGTTACCTGAGCCTCAGGCAGCCCTTGGTGACTGGGGAGCAGAGGAGATGGAGAGGCAGGCGAGCAAAACAGCCGGACCCGCCTGGGGATGGGCCTGGCCATGCTGTGCGCCTGCTGCCCTGGCGGGGCAGAGGGGACTAGGCGCTGCCATCTGGTGGCTCTGGGCACCGCCATTTTTGAGGGCATGACAGTCAATTAGCATACTCCCTTCCTATTGGCTATGGGTGTCACCATATTTGTGAGGATGTGAGTCAATTACCATATCCCCTCATTATTAGGAAGATTCTAGTATAATGGGGAACAATAGAGTAGAGGAGACAGAGTCTAGATAGATGGATTAAAAATAGACATGAGCCGAAACTGGTTTGGCTCAGTGGGTCGAGCGTCGGACTGCGGACTGAAAGGTCCCGGGTTCGATTTCGGTCAAGGGCATGTACCTTGGTTGCGGGCATGGCCCCAGTGGGGAGTGTGCAAGAGGCAGCTGGTTGATGTTTCTCTTTCATCGATGTTTTTAACTCTCTGTCCCTCTCAATTCCTCTCTGTTTAAAATCAATAAAAAAATATATATATATATAAAAAAATAGACATGAGCCGGGACCGGTTTGGCTCAATGGATAAAGCGTCAGCTTGGGGACTGAAAGGTCCCGGGTTCGATTCCGGTCAAGGGCATGTACCTTGGTTGCGGGCACATCCCCAGTAGGGGGTGTGCAAGAGGCAGCTGATCGATGACTCTCTCTCATCGATGTTTCTAACTATCTCTCTCCCTTCCTCTCTGTACAAAATCAATAAAATATAAAAATAAATAAATAAATAAATAAATAAATAAATAAATGAATAAATAAAATAGACTGAAAGGAGAACATGGGGAAGAAACGGCACAGCTCTGAGAAGGCAGAGCAGATGACGTCTCACCTGCACATCGAGCTCCTGGCGCTGAGGGTCCTGCAGGAAGAACCGGAAGGCCTCCTCCCACACGGGGCTGTTGGTGTTGTAGACAGCCTGCGGGCGGACAGGACTGAGGGTCCCGTCCACGTAACAGCCGCCCCAACACATTTTTAAAAGGCCACGTCATAGTGCCATTGCTGATCTCTTACCATGATCGGCTTCCCAAAGGGAACGTCATCCCCCAACAGCCTCACACACAAAGGACACTTCCCACAATGCTCCCTGGCCTCACCTTGCTCTCCCGGGTCACGTCCTGAACGGACAGTTGTACCATGGGGTTGGGCTCCTTGTTCCCCTTCTTCAGCTGTGGGAGGCGAATTCAGAGTCACTATCACGGTGTTTCTGTTTCAGGGAAGGAAGGGGGCGCTCCTCTCTGGGCAGCTCTGACCCCCTGGGACCCTGTGCTACAGGACGCTGCTGCTTCTGGAGCCACGCAGGCAGCGGAAGGGAGGGGGTGGGAACGCTGCAGGCCAGGCTCCCCGTCCACCTGCTCTCAGAAGCCACACTCACAGGGAGATCCTGGGCCCGATCCAGATAGACAACCAAGATGGCAGCTGACGGGGGCTCCGGCCGGGAGGAGACGCCTCGGTTCCACTGCAGGACCTGCAGGGGTGGGGCAGTCCGACCTCAGGCCCCGCAGTCCCCCGCAGAGACTCAGGCCCCACAGAGACCTGAGCCCCGCAGTCCCCCGCACTAATGCCCGATGACCACGGCTCCCCCGCCCTCGTCCTGCTCCCCCTGGTGGTTACCTGCTCCAGTTTGTCTGCATCTGGCAACAGTGACAGCCATTCCAGCTTCAGGTGGACTTGGCCTTGCCCGCCTTGCAGAGGGAACCACTGGGGGAAGTGGAAGAAAGTGAGGTACCGTTGAGATCAGATAGCCGCCCGGCCTCGTCCCCACCAATGGAGCAACTTCTGTCTGCCGTGTGGGCGAGCCCACCCACCTTCCTCTTTTCTTAACTGACCTCATCCAGGACTCCAGCCTGCAGCACCTTCCCCACATCCAGCTTCATCCTGGGAGGGGCCGGGGGAGGGAGGGAGGGAGGGCCGTGATGAGTAGCGTGCCACTGGCCCTCCACTCACTGACCCAGACATGACTGGCGGCTCGGACTCCCTTCTCCTCATCCTCGGGAGAGGATTGTGTGTGTGCACACGCACACCCACGCGTGCCTGTGCCTGTGTGTGGGTGGGGGTAAGGGATGGGAGAGGTTGGGAAGGAAAACGATACACAATTTCCAGGCCTGGAAAAGGATTATAATTACTGGCCCTGGGTGGTTTGGCTCAGTGGATAGAGCGTTGGCCTGTGGACTGAAGGGTCCTGGGTTCGATTCCAGTCGACGGCAAATGCTTAGGTTTCGGGCTCAATGCCCAGTGGGGGAGCGGGGGGGGGGCGTATGCAGAAGGCAGCCGATTAATAATTCTCATCATTGATGTTTCTGTCTCTCCCTCTCTTTTCCTATCTGAAATCAATAAAAATATTTTTAAAAATTTTTTAAAGAAAAGGACTGCCCTAACTGGTTTGGCTCAGTGGATAGAGCGTCGGTCTGCGGACTGAAGGGTCCCAGGTTCGATTCCGGTCAAGGGCATGTACCTTAGTTTCAGGCACATCCCCAGTGGGGGGTGTGCAGGAGGCAGCTGCTTGATGTTTCTCTCTCATCGATGTTTCTGACTATCCCTCTCCCTTCCTCTCTGTAAAAAATCAATAAAATATATATATTTTTTTTAAAAAAAGAAAAGGACTATAATTACACCTTTGTGACCCTGCTAGTACTGGGGCTTTAGAATCCTAACATCGGCAATCTCACCTGCCCAGAAAGTCATCTTTGTCTGGGTCCTTGTCAAACACCTCCACCTCCACCTCCTGGCCTGGGACCTCGTGCACTATCACCTGGAGAGCGGAGGAACAAGGGTCTCGTGGGCTGCAGCTGTGAGGACCACCCGTCAGCATCGCCCCTCAGCCGTCCGAGGCCTCCCCGTTTCCCCCAGCCCTGTTCCCCAGCTCTCCCACCTCGTAGGTCTCTCCCCACTGGGGGTTGAGTTCCTCATCGATGACACGACTACAGAACGTCTGGGTGCCCACTCGCACAATGGCATAGGGGTCTGACTTGCCCTCGATCAGGCCCTTCACATATTTGTCCTTGGAGCTTAATCCTCGAGCAGCCAGCAGGTGAATCCTGATAATGCCCTGAGGGTAGGAGCCAGAGAGTGAGACCAAGGGCCCGGCACAGGGTCCCCGAGAGAAGCATCTATTCAGGGGAGAAAGGTCGTACCCGGGGAAGAGGGGAGCGCAACTGGGCCACATCGTGGAGGTCAGGCACCAGGGGCACCAAGAGGCGGTTGGGCAGCACCAGGAAGGCAGAGATGGAGTCCATGATCATGGTGTCAGAGAGCGAGCTGGGTCAGGGGGCAGAAAAGGAGGTGAGTGAGGGCCCTGACCCCAACTTATGTTTCCCACAACCATGAGGCCTGCGCCCGAAGGAGGTCCGTTCTTGAAACTCTCTCTGCTCTTCTCCTGCCCAATTCCCCGCCTCCTGCTCTGTCCCATCTTCACTGCCATCCCAGCCTTCCTCCTCCTGCCCCGTCCAACCGTCTGCAGGGCTCTTCCTTCCCTGCAGAAGGAAAACCAGAGCCTGGTGCTTGGCAGGGGTATTTGTCTTATCTCCCCAGCTCAGCTCCGGGCTCCCTTTCACTGCTCTGCAACCCCCGGGCCAGGCCGCACCACTTGGCCGGTGCTCGGTCCGTCCTCGATACCTGAGTCCTGGGATATCCAGCAGGTTGGTCATCCCCGTCCAGTTGATATCGAGGGTCTGGAAAGAAAGGGCGCACGGAGGCGTGGTCGGCCCACCTGGCAGTTGCCAGAATTCAGCCTGTCAGTCCCCTCCTCCATTCCCCTTGGTGGCCATTCTACCATCCCCCGCAATCCTCTGCTTCCCCATCGTTCCTCAGCATCCCTCCTTACCGGGCGTCGAATAAAGAACATGGACACAGCCCCCACGATAGGAATGTCTCCTATGAGCGGCTCCAGAATCACCCGCAAGACACCGTGCAGCTGGGACAGGAGAAGACCGGAGCCTTTCCTCAGAAACCGCCTGCCCTCCCCTCACTCCCACATCCGCCCCCACATCCCAGGAAACGCAGGGCAAAGGCTCCCTCCCTCCCGGGGGCCCCTGACGGCTGCCCCACCTGCATGCCCTTGATCCCGGCTTTGCAGAAATATTTCTTCACTTCCACGTCAATCTGTATGTCGCCTACGTAGCTGGGGTTGGGGAGGAAAACAAAACGTTAGCACTCGGCGAAGTGGGGGCCGGGGCCTACGGCCCGCGTGACCAGGCCCTGGAGCCGGGAAGCGGGAGAGGGCTGAGTGGTGCTACCTGATGTTCATGTCCAGCAGGATCTGCTGTTTGTTCTGACCCGGGTGGACTTTCACTCCTAGGATGCGCAAGGGCTAGAGAGAGGTGAATTCTTGAGAGAAAGGAAGGGGAGGGGAGGAGTATCTCAAGCTCCCCTGACCTCCCCCCCCCCCCCCCCCCTGTCCCTGTTGCTTTCTCCTCCTCCCCTTACTTTCCTTCTCTCTCACACACACACCTTTTCACCCAGTTCCACTCGGGTGAATGTGAATGTCTGTAAATGGGGGTTAGATCCTCGCACAGCGGGGGCCACCGTCTCAGCCAGAAGCTTCTCCATGTACTGCCCGAGGAAGGGCCAGACCTGGGCCACAATCTGGGGGGAGAGGGAGCCAGTCACAGAAGAGCCCAGTCCCCCCTCCGAGGTCAAGTCCCTTCAGAATGCGCCCCGGGGAGCAGGGAGAACGGGCTGGGGCCGGGACTGAGTGTGGCAGAGGACGGCCAGAGGAGGGGCCTGTTTCCCACTTAGGAAAAGTAAAAATGCAGACAACTCTCACCTTATTTAGCCATTCCACCTTTTCCACATCTGGGAAGCTGACCTAGAGGGGGGAGACAGAGTACTGAGCACAGCCTGCGGCTTCCTGCGGAGATGCTGAGAGGAGAGGGAAGGTGAGGTGAGGGCCGCCTCCACCGCTGGGGGCCCCGAGGTCTCTGGGGGAGGGGGTAGGGGGGAGCTGGGTGGGGCCGGAGGGGGAGGCCGCACTTGGCTGCTCTGTGGCCGCTCAGGATGTGAAAGGACAGCTGCCGGCAGAGGAGGAGTGAGACGGGCACATTCTTTCTGGAGGGGGAGGTCCTGGCAAACAGTTTGAGGAAGAAATCCTGGGCTCGGAGAGGCCCGGTCCTCTGTGCAGCCTGCCCTTTCTGACCGGCCTCTGTGCCAGGAGTGCCAAGGGGAAGCGGCTCCCTGAGTCAGGGAGGGCCAGAAGCGATACCAGCTGCAGGCCCTGGCCTTTGTTTTTTTTTCTTCTATGGATCAGTGTGGCTCCTTTGTGGGAAAGGGCACCTGTGCTCCTGCTGGGGGAGGAGGGGGGAGTAGCTTCGGATGGATTCGTTCCGTGGAAGAGCAGGAGGAACAAAGGACAGTGGCTGCCTGGGCTGCGTGTCCCCAGGGACCATTTCTTCCCCTCTCGCCTCTCCAGTCCTGGCCTGGGCAACATGGCTGTGCCCGTCCAGTGCCAACTTTGATTCCTCTCCGGCCTGGTCCCTCTAGGCTGGCACCTCTGCTGGGAGCGGGCAGGAGGGGCTGGGGAACGGCCCGATGGGTAAGGGCAAAGAGATAAGGATCTGGGCCTCTAACAAACGCAGCCCACACTCCGGAAAAGGGTGGGGCTGCCAGGCGGCGGGTGAGGGCTGCGGGCACTGCAGCAGCCGCACCCCCCCTCCCGTGCGCCCTGCAGCCCGCATCCCCTGCGCTGCGGCCGGAGAGTGCGGCCAGGTGCAGGGTGCCCTCCTCCCCGCTCCTCTCAGTCCGCCAGGGCAGTGCCCCCCGGGGGGCCCCGAGGGTGACTGCGGGAAAAGAAATGGGGGTGGGGTGGGGAGCCCAGGACAGGAGAGGGAAGGAGACCCTCTGAGCGGCTGTGGCTTGCGGATGCCCCGGAGCAGCAGAGGCGCCGGCGGCCCGCGGGCAGCGGGCGGGGCTGTCCCGGCGGGAAGAAGCCCGGTTCTGGGAGGGATCGGAGCCGGCGCCGAGGGGAGGGGGCGGGCGGTCGGTCCCAGGAGAGCGGGGACGTCCGGGCGGGCCGGTCCCAGGCGGGAGCGGCCTGGGGGACGCGGAGCAGAGCCCGGGGCCGGGGGCCGGGGGCCGGGGCCGGGGCCGGGGCAGGGGCCGGGGCCGGGCGCGGGCGCTCACCCAGGCGGGCAGCTCCCGGTGGCTCAGGTACAGCGTCTGGGCCGTGAGCCGCTCCTCGTCGTCCAGCAGCAGCCGCGCCACGCGGAGCCTCCGTTCCTTGCCGTCGCGGACGCGGCGCCAGCCCAGGTAGAGGGCGAGGCCGACCAGCACGAAGCCCACGCTGAGCCCCAGGGCCCCCGCCAGGTACACCGGCACCAGCACCAGCAGCCGCCGCCCGAACGCCGTCAGCGCCGCCAGCGCCTCGCCCGCCGCGCCCGGGCCGGCCGGCGGCTCCCCGGGGCTCGGGGCCGGCTCGGGGGGCGCGGCGGGGCGCTGGCCGGGGGGCGCGGCGGGGGCGGGGGGCCGGTCCTGCGGGCCGGGGCTGGAGCCGGCTCCCGGGGCGCGCTCCATGCTGCCTCCTGGGGAGAGCCCTCCGGACAGAGACCCGGGAGGCGCCGGATCTCCCCGCTCCCCCCGCCGCTAACCGTAAACCCTAAAAGGCAGGGACTCCGAGCCACGCCCTTCCTCCCATGGCCGGGCGGGTCCCGCCGCAGAGGGCGAGGTGGAGTCGGAGCCTCGGACCCGCCCTCTTCCGCCGGGGAGGGGGAGCCGGGCCTCCGGGATCGGACCGAGCGCCGAAGGGGCGGCCGGGGGGCGGGAGGGCGCGGAGAGCGGCTCCGAGCCGCACCGCACTGGCCGGGGAGGCGCGGCGGTCTGCGGGCCATTTAAACCGGGGGGCGGGCCCAGGCGCCCCCCACGGGGATTGGGCGGCGGCGGCGTGACGTCACACAGAGCTTCTCCGTTTTCGGAGGGAACGCGAGTGCAGGGCTCCCTTCCTCTCCATTGGGCTTGGCAGGACTTGGTCTGCGATTCCTACATGTTCATTTGCCAGCTTTCCCTATGCTCGTACCCTAAGCACTTTCCCTCAGTGTGCTCCGGCTGTCCTTAAACCAGGGAAGGAAATCACCCTATTTGGAATGGAAGTGTTCCATGACCTACGCTGTCCGTCCTGTCCTTAGTCCTCTGCCCTGTCTGCGGTCTGTGCGGTCTGTGCAGTGAAGCGGCAGACGCTAGAGAATCCGGGAATTACGGAGCTGAGAGAATCCTGTCTTCAGGAAAGAGGGGGAGGGGGGAAGCAGGGTGAATAGGAAGTGAGCCTTCCTTTCTGTTCAGAAATCTCCAAGAGTTATTTAGTCCGTAGATGACTGATTAAAACCAAATTGGCTCCACAAAGGGGGAGAGAGGCTCAGCTGCAGCAGAAATGATTCCATTTCCAGACTCTGACAACTGATAACATGAAAATAAGAAACAAAGAGTAATGTGATGATTCCATTTCTCATTTGCCGGAGTTAGAAGATTTGGGGCATAGTCCTATGTAAAACTAATGCAGTTTTACATTGTACGAATAGGTTTAGAAAGGGGGGGATGCAAGGTACATTGCTGATGACCGCTACTAGTTAATGGGATTTAGAGGGTGTTGTCTGGGGACAGACATTAGACTCATTGGCCCTGGCTGGTGTGGCTCCGTCCTCCCACCACCTATTGGTTTGATTCTCGCTCAGGGCACATAGAGGGCACATACTCAGGTTGGGGTGGGGAGATGTACAGAAGGCAACTGACCCACGTTCCTCTCTCCCTCTCCCTTCCTCTTTCTCTAAAAGCAATAAAAACATATTTCTCTCTTTAAAAAACTGGACTAACTGGAAGCCCTAGAGGGAAGGGTTGGTCATAAAATGGTTATTGTTTAATGCAGTGTTTGTGGAGCTTGTATTATTCTGTTTAGTGCAACACAGGAACTAGGGTTGATCTGTGAGCAAAGATTAGATCTGCAGCAGATACATTTTATCTGGCTCTGCAGGCATAGATTTCATCAGGCTGTTTCATCAAAGCTGCTAAAACTTATTCCTGCCCAATCTTAAAATTTTCTCATGTCCCTTTCTCTACTTCTCTGAGGCTTACAGTATCTAGATTATTTCATTCAGCTTGCAGAACTACATAATGAACCATTTTCTACTTGCCTCCTATGTCCTCCATATTCTCAGAAGTGAGCAGGTAGGAAAGGAGCTCAAGGAGTTTGGAGGAGATATGATCTGCTCCCCAACTGATGAAGCAAAATGAGTTGAAAAATGGATGAAGTTCCTTATGGGGAAACCTCCCTATAAAATTAAATTTGCCAAGCACTGGAGCCCTTTAGGCTGGGAGATAGGGTGACCTATGGAGGCTCTTTTTCAAACTTCCCTCCTCACCTATCTAGATGATCAGACCCTCCTACTGAAGGTAGTGTATGGAGCACAAAAACTCATCCTACGGAGGTCTCTTCCCAACTGGCTCAGGGGCCAAACCATCAGCAGCTGCATTGCAGGCACCAGAGCTAGTCAACAGGGTGAGTCCCGCCCACTGACAATTCTGCTGCCCAGGTGCCACCTGGTGGTAGTAAGCAATAAAGGGTGACAGGAAAAATGGTCACTTTTTCAGAGTGTCTAAGTGAGCCAAGTGTTGAGGCTTCCTGGATTTGCAATAGGCATGTATATGTGAACTACGTTAGCCTCGGAGGCAGAGGACTGAACGTGGTCATCTGGTCCCAGCTCACAAGATGGAAGGGGCAGGGCAACAGAATTGGAGGAAATTTCCTCTGTGTTGTTCCCAGCAAGTTACAGCCAAGTGGTCCCCCTGTGGGATGGCTCTACATCAGAACTGGCTCCGCACCTCACTAGTTGTGGAAACCTGAGCCGATGAACCCTCTTTACACCTGCTTTCTCCTCTGCCACATGGGTAAGAGAATAACAGCCACTGTACTGTGCCAATTAGATATTGCAAGGAAAGTGCCTTGCCTTAAATTTTAGTACTCAATAATAAATATTAGCTAGAACTTCTAGAACCCCCCGTTTATTTCTGATGCAGCAAACAGGACCCTTTTCTCCAATGGGCAGCCCTTCAGATATCCCAAGTTATCTACTGGGTCCCCCTCAGTCTTTTCTTATCAATTTCTGTCAGCTCCTCCACTGGTTTGCTGTGGCCCTTTACAATCACATTGAGAAGAATGCACAATACTTTCGGGGTTGCTTCACTCGGACACGGAAGAACTGCTGTATTTACAACGCATGCCTGTGGTTCTGTTATCCTCTGGAGCTCCTAGAAAGGCCTAGAACATAGCAGGCTCTCACTATGTATGAACTGACACATTATAAGGACAAGTATTTTTTAGCCAATTGGAAGTCCCGTGTTGTTCTCTCATTGTTTCTGTGTTGTTCTCATTTTTGCTACTATAGATCTCTGAATTTATCCCTCAGACAGGGTCAAGCAATTTTTTTTTTGTTTTGTTTTTTGTTTGTTTTGGTGCCCTGACCAGGAATGGAACCTGCCACCTTTCAGTGCACAGGATGATGTATCAACCAACTAAGCCACATGGCCAGGGCACAACCAATTTTTTAGAGGGAGGGTCAATCCAAATAGATACAAATTGGCCCGTTGGATTTAGTCAATACAAGTTACAAACACTTTCAATATTACTTAATATGTCCTTGTGTTACTGTTGATAACAGAGCCTTCCATATTTTTATACACGTTTTCAATAAAACATACCTCTTGGGTCTATCACTAGATTTCTCTAACATGAATGCACGAATCAACATTTATACATGTTCAGTTTGGATTCCACCAAACTCTACTATGAATGGAACCATAACTATGATTTTATTTGTAATGGTTTCAGAGGTGAGGAAGAGGAAAGCAGCTCCTGACATTCAGGAACTGGCCTGAACAGCTCGGCTTCAGAGTTGTTAGGGGCTGACCTGGGTTCAGAGGTAGGAAACGGTGTCCTATTGGACACAAACTCAAAAAACACCAACACAGGACAGGTGTTCAGTGACTATCACAATTCCGTCTAAGTACAAAACAAGGTCAAGTGTGCAAACCACAAGATGACAAACATCCCCCTCATCCAGCTGAGTGACTACTGTTTCATTACCAATTACAACTTTGCTTCACTCTGGTCTGCCCTTTATCAGGATAAAATAATCACAGAATTATCTATCCCTGCTTTTCAGAGATCACTCAATCCAGAATGAAGTCCCACTTCCTTAAACCTTCCCCCAAATCAGTTAACCAAAATGTAAGTCCTGTAAGTCCTAATACCCTTTCACTCTCTACAACCACAGTTCCCATGGCACGCTCTCTCCATCATTTCTATGAGCATTAAACCCAACTTGTTCAACTGCAGGTGTATTCCTGGTGGTCTTTAGCTGGAGGATGTTAATAAAGGACATACAATGTATAGTTTCCCAAATCTACCTCTTTAGAGACACTTGGCAAGAAGAAAGTAAAGTTAATGGGTCAGCATTTGGCTGGGACGAATTCATGTTGATATCTATGATCACACTTGTTTTTAAATATTCATAAACCATCTCTTTTAATAATCCAAACTTGTATCAGAAAATTAACATTTAACTTATCAATGGGTGGTTTCTAAAATCCACAAACAATATTTTAGTATTTGCCCATTTTTAGTCTTTAGATTCTTTTTTTTTTTTACTGGCCTTGTCTTGACCTAGCCCACCAACTCCAACCCCAGGTATATCCTGAATGATCAAGCAGACAAGAGAGCAAGAGGTAGAAGGAGATGAGATGGGGGAGAACCACCCAGGATCACAGTCTCTCCCCCCACATCCACAATCCCATTAGATTGGACACCTGAATTGTTTCCCCGTATCAGCTATGAGCCGAGGAGGAACTGAGGTTTGGCTACTGGGGCCCTCAGCCTTGACTTTTAATTAGATTTAAAACCAATGTGGTCCTATGTGGAAGCAGAGGGAAGAAAAGAATTCTGAGTCTTGTATCCCCAGAACTCTCCTTTTCCCAGCATCTCCCAAGCCTTAAAGGTTTAAGGCATTGGTAACCAAGGAAGGGATAAGAGGGACATTTACTGCCATCAGTAACTCATGACAGCAATCACCACCCGCCTTGCTCAGTTTGCATAAGGGATCTGTCAATACATATTCCATTCCCATTTCCCAGCACATCCACCCTCCTTAGTACCTGCCCCCCTAAATGACCCTAGGAGCCCTGGTTACTAAGGCAACCTGGGAATAGTTCATGCAGATAGAAACCAGAACAGATGGGACTATTTTTAAACTGGACTAGGTGGCTCCAATGCTTTTACCTCATAAAGTGCCTTCCCCAAAGTCTCATCTGTTGTTCTTCTGGGTCCCTACCCTTCTTCACTGGTCTCCATCCAACTTCATCCCAGCTCTGAGGGTGGGGGGGTCTTTATCCCATTTTGGCATGACATCTATTTATTGCTCTCGTATTCCACACAGGAAATCTAAGCAAGTTTTCACTGCCTTCATTTGTTAAAAACAATTGTTTTTTTATTTCTTTGGAAAGTGGTGGGCCCTGCCCTGTGAATTTCCAGGCCAAGCCAAGGTAACGAATGCTCCCCTAGCCTTTGGGCTGGAGGACTATGGTCCCCGCCTTGCTACGGGCCCAGGAGCAGTTATTGTCCAACTCGACTACGTCCCAAGTTGTCTGAAGGCTCCCTCAGGCCTCCTCTTCTGGCCGCCCACTCCCCCATCTTCCCTCTGGGCACTGTTTTCTTCCAAACCAGTGCTGGAACCTGTGCTGCGCAGGAGTGAGGACCAGACCAGGCATGTCCCCATCTTCCCATCAGGGGACATCCAACCCCTCAGCCAGTCCTTCGTCTGTGCTGGCTTCAGTCTGCACTCCTATGCGAGCCCCTCTGTGAGACTTAAAGATGGACAAGAGGGCCCTCACATAAGGGAGGTGAGACAAAACCCACCAGCCCAACCCCTTCTCAGAAGTAAACTCCTCACAGTCTCTTGTCCTCGTTTATGAATAAGCCTTAAGACAGGGCCTGGCGAGTGGGTGGTAAAGGGCTCCCTGGATCCCGGCCCTGGGAGGCGATGGCGGGGGTGTCCAGCAGCAGCCCCGTCAGTGTGGCATGGCTGTGATACGCATGCTCTGGGAAGCAATGGGGTAAGTCACCATGGGAGTGGTGCTGTGGCTCATTGTGATTCCTGCCAAGGGTTGGGCCATCGATACAGCCACAGGGGCCACCGGAGCCACAGATACAGCCACAGGAGCCATGGAGACCGGTGGGGGTGCCATTCCCTGGGCAATTGTTTGAGCCAGAGCAGCTGACAGTGGCGTGATCTCTGGGTTCAAGTGTGGGGGTGGGGGTGGTGGAGCAGCAGGAGGTGCAGCATTAGTTGGGGGAGCAGCTGGAGCTCCAGCGGGGGCTACCAGTTCTTGCTGAGACACAGGCCGAGGCTGTAGAGCCTGGCTGCTGAGAGTAGTGTGAGTCTGGGCGATGCCATGGTTAAAAGTGGCAACAGTACCCACAGTGGGAGCCAGAGTCTGCTCAGTTGCTGGTGCAGTAGAGCTCAGGGTCATGACCTTGGCCTGATTGCGGAACTGGGCATTTTGTTCCAGGAGTACCTCATTGGTAGCCAGAAGGTTGCTGACCTGCTTCTTGAGCTCCTCTACCCGCTTCCTGAGCATGGCGTTCTCCTCCTCCAGCAGCCTGCACTCCACCCCTCGGGGTGGAGCCAGGCTATAGTCATAAGATTCAAAATGGGGGCCATCTGGGGGACAGCATCCTCGCCGGCGCTTGGGACCTGGCTCATGGTCCTCAAAGCCCCTGTCAGGGAGGTCAAAGATGTCATAGAGATCATGACGTCGTCCTGGGGGGACTGGGCCTGTTGAGCCCCCACCACCGGTGCCGCCTCCACCCCTAGTATCAAATTCAAAATCCCGTTGTAGGTGACGGAACTTGCACTTGGCTCCTCTCTGGCAGTCACCTTTGAGAAAATCCCGGCAGATTGGGACCTCCTCCTTGCCATTCGGTAGGTCAGCTGGAGAAAGGCCCAGGCCTGCTGCGACTTTCTGCCTCAGCCGAGGGGGAAGCTCTCCTGTCTTCTTATAGCCATCCTCATCCTCCTTGGAGCCATGGATGAATCGGCAGTTTGGGCGACTGCACTCCTTGTTCTGGAAGTCATGGCAGAAGATGAACTCATTTTTGCTCACCCCCAAGTTGGACACCTCACTCATGTCTGGATGGCGGTATCGGCAACGCTTGCCTCGTTTGCACACATTCCTCAGGAAGTCTCTGCAGATGGCATCTGAGCTGGCCCCTCCGCTGCCTGGCCCTGCTCCACCGGCCTCCTCGCTGCTCCCACTTCCAGGGCCTCCACCGCCGCTCCCAGTGCCGTTGGCATAGCTGTCCCGGTCAGGCATCCTGGTCCCCCCCAACTCAGGGCTTTCTTCCTTTTCTTGCCACCCCGGGTGACCACTAGGAAAGAGAAGGGCTGTGTCAAACGAGAGTGCTCCAGAGAGGCCACACTCTTCCCGACCTTAGGGTAGGCAGTCCAGCAAGAGGCAGGCCAGAGGGGCAATGGCTTTGGAGATGGAGAACCTTAGGGGTGAGAATTCGGCTCAGACTGGCTGGCTTGCCCCAAGTCCCGCCCAGGCTCTTATGCACCTGGTCTGGGACAGCATGATTCACACTTGCCTGGCTGATCGAGAAGGGAGGGAGCTGGGGGTGAAGCCATCTCATCTCACTTATGAACGCAGGCCAAGGGGGGGTAGGGATAAAATAGTACTGGGTTTTATTTCCCCTTTTGAATTGACCTTATTAAAGTTGTGGAAATGAAATTAAAACTGTCAGTGTCTGAATAGGCTAGGAGGGTACTGGGAATCGTGGCCAAGATGGGCTGGTGAGCCACAAGGGCTATGGATATGGAAGGCTGGTGACAAAACTTCCCTTAACCCCCTCTTCATGGGGTTTCAGATAAGGGATCTGTGAAGTATCATATCTCTAAACCCCAGGAAAGCTTGAGTGAAGAGACTTGTGTCACCACCCTGAAGGCAGTCCATTAACCATTTTTTTGTACTCCCTCCCAGCTCAATACCACTATCAACCCCAGTGTGGTAAGCTCCCTCCTCTCCATTTCAGGGGAAGAGTTCTATGGCTAGAATCTCCACTTATGGACTACCAAAGGACACCACCTATAGACTACGGAAGGACAAAAGCAGGAAGAAGGAGTTAATTTCACAGGCACAAGTGACCTTACTTTCCCATTCTATCCCCTCCTAACCCTTCATGGGAAGATACCACTGTCATCAAACCACACCATTCCTCACCCCATAAAGATCCTCTTTATTTATAGACGCTATAAACGCTTCTTAAGTCTCATCTTTCCCAAGAGAGCTCTGGAATGTCAGTCCACTGCCCTGGTTCTAGCCCGCCCCTCACCCCACCCCCAACAAGACTGGGAGTCCTGGCTACCATGTGTCTGACCTGGTAAACCTTTCCTAAGCAGTGTTCCGGCTCCCCCTGCTGTTCAAATAGGAAAACGTCATATTCTTTCCCCTGGAGTATGTAAGGGGAAACAATTTCTCTGGCTTTGATCTCCCATAACCACCACTTGGGTTGCCTTGACTTTGCCTTCATATCTCCCTAAAATAAACCCACCAGCGGCCAACGTTACAAGAGACTCTGTAAAAGAAGGGTCCTTTTCCTCCAAAGGGAGGTAGTCCCAGGATAATAGAAACAATCAAAGGGTAAAAGAGGAAATACAAACTTTTACTAAAAGGGAAATGACCTGGGGAAAATTAAATGCCATCGTTCCAAGCCTGACCCACGGTGCAAGCCCCACCAGATACAGATGATGAGATATAGTGTTCCTCCCCAGCCACTCTCCCAGGATTATTCGATACCTGAGGTAGCTCAGGTGAAGTCCGGGGCTCCTGTGGGTCTCCACCGCCACATCACTGCTGGGTTCTGAACAGGAACAAAACAGGTACTTCGGTGGGAGAAAGGGTAAGAATGGAGGACTATGGGCTGAATGGAGGACTATGGGCTGAACGTTACAAGAAATAAGTCTGACAAAAAGGCAAAAGCTCTGGGCACATGAAGATTTCCTTAGTTTCAACTGAACTTCACCAAAGGGAGGAGTTGCAAGTAAGAAAAGCAAAAGATAGAACTAAGTTGGAGAGCCTAGAAGGATGGGTTGGATAACCAGCCCTGGGTGAACAAAGGGTGAGGGGAGCCCTGCCTCAAATGGAAGATATGGGGGTCAGAGTCCGGCTTGGGGTTGGGGTTAGGAACTTCGCATGTGGAGCTGTGCAAGGGCCGCGACTGACACTGCAGTGGGTTGGGATGGCAGACTAGACTTGGGGGCAGTGATTATGACGCTTCGCAACACCCGAATTTGCTAAAAGTCCTAGGAGTTTCCCGCAGCAAATCTTCTGGCTTGGCAGGTTCCGTGCAGTGCCACCAGAGCCCAGCGTGGGCCAGGCGAGCAGGACATTAAGTGAACACGAAGTGAAGCGGGAGCGGGACTGTGGGTGACATCAGCTGAGGGGATGGGCAGGGCTGTGACGTCACGGAGCTAGCGTCTGCTCGCAAAGCGAGGTCAGTTAGAGAGGGGGCTCGGCGCTGGGGCATGAGAAGAGCCAGCAGGGTCCTGGGGGGCCTTGCGTAGCCGGGCGAGCCCGGCCGCTGGGCCGGCGACGACTCCTCCCCTCCGGGCGCGGCCTCCACCTGTCTCCCGCCTCCCTCACCTGCCACCGCCGCCGTAGTTGCTGCTGCCGCCTGCCGGTCCTCTAGCTTCGACAAAGAGCCGCCCACCCAGCGGCCCTTCCGCTTCCTGCGGAAGAAATGGCGCTCTAGCCACCGGACCCGGAACTATACTCTATGGTATGTACGGTACTTGGCGTGACTGGCGGCAGGAAGTTCCCAGCAAGCTTTGCGCATCACCATGGTAACAGAGCAGCAAAAAGCGTAGAGACCAGTAGAGACTGAACCACTCGCCCAAGAACTATCGCGATACCTGTCCCCAGGATTCCACTACTCCGCAGGCCGGGGACCAGACGCCGGGTAGGGGCAGGACCCACACCCCGGGGGCAGCGTGTAGAACAATCTTACTGCACGGGGTAGGAACAGGGCCCGCAGTACTGACAATCCCCAGCCAATGGAACCATAAAAACCACAAAGCAGACATTATCTTTTCCTTCAGCTAAGACAGGAGATGATTTATTGTGCACGTTACATTCAGCCACAACTGGGAACAGAACCAGTCCAGAGTGTCAGGGGTCCGAGGCAAAGATCCGAGAGGACTTTTTGGAAGCGCAGGGTGGGACTCTCGAAAGGCGGCGCGGTGTTCAGATGGCCGGTATGCACGTTCCAGATCCCACGGAGATGTTGTCGAGTCCGCAGGCAGGCAGTCCGACAGCTTGGACCGGCCCCGGGCCTCTGGCCTCCCTCCTCTGCTCCCGTGCTGCCCCGGTGCACAGCTTGCGGCTTACTTGGACCTCTGCCTCATCTTTCTTCTTTTGCGCTTCAGCCTGAAAAGCAGACACTTAAGAATACACGCCTTGCCCTCAAGCCCACAACAAGCCCTCCCCCCAATCTTGATGTGCACACAACACAGGGTGGTGGCAAGATGAAGCACTACATTCTCTTGTCTTAATGCTCAAAGCGTTTTTCACCTGAAATTCTTTTAGACTTTTAAACCAAACGTCCCTCCCAAGTTTTGTTTACGGCATGCACCACCTCACCTCCCTCCTCCAGGGCCTGCAAAGTCTCAACATACCTGCGCATTCGCTTCTTCCTCCACTGGCCACCGATTATAACCAGAGGGAAGGAACAAAGAAGAATGTCGTTAGTTTTTGACAGGTTTAGTTAGGGGTGTGGAGAGCATTCTTTGGAACTTCAGGCACGTTCTCGACCTAACGTGAGGGCTTAATCGCAGTAATCACGTCAGTCATCTGGCCTCCTAACCCCCACACCTGAAGTAAACTCCGAACTCCACACGCGTCCTTTCCTCACAACAGTTACCCAGCCACCCCCTCTGCTCCTCCCCAAACCATCCTCCTCTCCCACCTCTCAGACACCCTGGAGAACCGGCGGCTCGGGAGCCATGGCGGACTTCCCTTACCGGGTTCCCCCCCTCCTCCCCCCATCACCAAGTCCCACCACCTCAGCTTACCCCCAGGGAGTGCTTACCTTGGCTCTCATGGCGCAGAGGTTTCTACGGGCAAAGAGAAAAAGGTTACAGTTAGTTGGCTGTGACGACGGTACGCGCAGAGACCAGATGGTAATGGATTGTACGCGGAACCACACACAGAAAACAGAAACACCCACCTAGGAAGATGGCGCTAAGGCCGAGAGAGCGCGCAAGGCCCGCCTCCGCTATTTAAGGGCGCGCTCGCTGTCGTCACTTCCGCTGCTCGGCCCGCCTTCCGGGGGCGTAACAATGGCTTCCGGCCCCTTTCAGATACCTCATGAGGGATGCTGTCCTCTTGGAAAACGGAGTGTTTTGGATTTGAGTTACAAAACTGCCCGCCCCGTTTCGTTGTTGAGGACGTCGTTATTTAAACGTGAGCACCCGTTTCCAGCACGAGGCCTCGAGGTGCTGGCGAGCAAGACAGCGACTTCCTCCTCCTCTCTCGATGCTTCATGGGAGTTGCAGTTTCCTGGTGACACCCTCCATTTTATTATAAATAGGTGCGTACTTTATAAAGATTCCTCATTTGTTTACTGGTTGGCCTTACTTTTAAACGAAATTGCTGCAGGGAGACTGTATCTCAGAACCTCTCCGGAAGGTCCTAAGGTTGCAGAACATGGAAAAACGTAAAATTGGGTTGTCAAGAACGCTGTCCTATTACCAAAATACGGTCGCTATTTTAGATAAACTTTTCCCTAGCCAACAACGCCTGAGGCCGAATGTCATTAAGTTCCTTGCCACGGTGCATCTTGTTCAAATTCAGTGATTCTACCAACAGAGAGAGGAAGATGGCTCTCTTCCCTAGGGCAAGGATGGTATTTGGTTTTAAGATAAAGAACTCCCCCTCTCAGGGTAGACAGATGAAGGGTACCCAGTAAGCAGATTTGGACAATTACAAAGGATGGAAAAAAATCCTTAAGCCAATTTGGCCTTATTTACTTTGATACTGCAAGGTTTTTATTTTTTATTTCTTTTAAATATATATTTTATTGATTTTTTTACAGAGAGGAAGGGAGAGAGAGAGAGAGAGCTAGAAGAGTCGATGAGAGAGAAACATCGACCAGCTGCCTCTTGCACACCCCCTATTGGGGATGTGCTCACAACCCAGGTACATGCCCTTGACTGGAATCGAACCTGGGACCTTTCAGTCCGCAGACCGACGCTCTTACCACTGAGCCAAACCGGTTTCGGCAAGGTTTTTATTTTTTGTTAATTCTCACCTGAGGATATTTTTTCCATGGATTTTTGAGTAGAAGGTGGGGAAGGGTGAGGGAGAAACATCAATGTGAGAGAGACACATCCATTGGTAGCCTCCTGCTCTACCCGAAAGGGTGGGATATCAAACCTGTAACCAAGGCAACAGCTTTTGACCAGAAATCCAACCCGGCCACACATTTCCGGTGTGCGGGCAGGTGCTCTAACCACTGAGCACACTGGTCGAGGCTTGCAAGGTTTATTATAATCCCTTTTTTGATGGTTTCCCTTTGTAACTTATGCATTAACATATCACCCTTTCAGCTCTATTAAAACAAGGTTTTTAAAACTTGGCGCCCTTGTTCTAAGTGCTTAAGTAGTTCTATCATAGTATTTTCGTTATCACAATTGTTTTTGAAAACAAAAAATTCCATCAGAATTGCTTCATTATCAAATACCAAATCCACCAGGCTTTCCCCTGTTGACTGCCTCGCCTACAAGCTCTTCTGAAGAACTCCATGTTTTGTTCACGGTAGTATCCTGTAGTATCTGCAGGACAGCATGCCTGACATGTAAGATACTCAAATCTAATTATTCACTTAGGCTGGCCCTGACAACTTGTATAACACTTAAGGCACTTTTCCTGGCTTCATAAATCAAAACAAACTTCTGTATAATGTTTTTTTTTTCAGTACACATTAAATGTGCTAGTCCTGAACAGTGTCAGCAGCAAGGTTGATGGTTTTTATTTTTCACATGGTCTTTTAACTAATCATTACTAGATATCAAATGTAGTCTACAATGATTTTAAAATATATATTTTATTGATTTTTTAGAGAGGGATAGAGCTAGAAACATCGACCAGCTGCCTCTTGCACGCCCCTTACCAATGTGCCTGTAACCAATGTACATGCCCTTGACCGGAATCGAACCTGGGACCTTTTACTACCTTAATTCAGATTAAGGATTTATGTCTTTGGGTTGAGGAAGTATTCTTTTGGAAAGTTAGTAAATAGCAACCAGAGAAACAGCTCCAAATGATCACTTCAACTAACACTCCCCCACCTCCATCAAATAAAAGCAGCAAAAGCACATGATTATGAGCAAATCCAAATTTATTTTAACGCCATGTCATTTTCAGTGTTTAAAAACCTCATAAGTTAGCGGCGGGAGTCCTAGTTTCCCTGGGACAGCATGCCAGAGGTACTGAATGAAATTCACCACCTTTCTCTCAAAACCCCTAGCAATTCATCCAATTCAAGTCCACACAGCTTAGAAAGCCAGGAGTTGTCTCTTCAGTCAGTCTGCTCCTCTGGTTCCTGGTCTTTCTTTCGAGGGAGAGAGGTCAAAATATTTCAATCAGGGAACAAAACTGCAGTTGAGCTTTCAGCTCAGGTTTGTAAGGTGGAGCAAGGGAAGACCCCACTGACTCCAAATAAATGGACTGGTTAAAATTAATTCCTCCTTTACAGTTTTTTTCTTTCTTTTTTTTTTGGGGGGGGGGTAGATTTGGGGAGAATAGTCCTACAGAACAAAATGACTATAAAGATTTACAAATGAGGATCCGTTTCATAAATGAGAATCCCTTGCTAAGTGCAAGCTCCAGCTCCTAAAAAAAGGAGGGGCCTGGCCAGATAGCCTGGATCAGAAAAGGAACCTACCACCTGTGAATAAAACAATCCGAGGCACAGCTCCTCTCCCCTTTGAGGCCAGATAAAATACTTATGGAGAGTGGAAAAAGAGAGGAGCAAGCCCCAGCAGAAGGGAAAACGCTGACATCAGAGTGTATAAAATTCCAGCTGAATCTTTAGTGGTGGTGGCTCCTTTAGCCTCCTCCCTGCTCTGTTGTAGGGCCATAATCCTTTACCAAGCAGACAGTAGTAGAAAAAGGCTAGAAAGAGGGGCTTGAAGACGATGGATTTTGATTCCTGATTTTATTGTTCAATTTCTCTTTTCTAGTTAAAGTAGTCTTCGGTGGCTGGGAAGCCTGGCCTCCCAAGACCAGAGTCAGTTGGAGCTGGTTCTTGTTGGAAGGGGTAGGGCTGGGGGACTGGGATGGGGCAGGGAGACCCCTGCTCTGCTGGCGGTCCTGGTGGAGAAGACGAACTGCACTTCAGAGCCTGGGCTGTGGGGGGGGATGAGGCAGGAGCGGCTAGCTGGGGAGATGGGACCCACCTCAGTCCCCAGCTTCATTCTCTAATGTTTCCCCACTGGTGGCATTCTCTGCAGTCTTGGAGGCCTATATTCATAGAAAGAAGATGGAGACGTGTAAGTTTCCTTGGGGGAGTGTTGAGGGACCATGGACAAAATATCCTAATTCTCTAGGACAGGCCTGAGAAGGGGGTGGGGTGGGTGGAATAAAAAGGGATCCGGTTCATCCTGCCGAAGAGGGATAACAACACACCTTCTTTTTTTTCTTTTTCTGGGTTTTCCGACTTGCAGAACTCTGGAGGAGGGCCTAGGAAAATAGGGAGAAGGAGAACAAATGTGGAGGACGTTGGAGAAAGTCTTACTTTCAACACTGACCTCTTTTTCAGGACTCACATTCAGTCCTCACTTTCAGGACAGGTTCCATGTGCACAACCGCTTTGCAGCCCGCACTAACCTTTAGCTCTGCATCCTGGACCTCCTTGTCAGACTTGTAAAGGTCAGGCTCAAAGGGACCACTGGTTATCCGCATGGGGCCATTGGGCATGAGCAGAACAGTAAATTTAAACTGGGCAACGAATTCGCCTATGGGAGAGAGAAATGTTTTGATAAAATGTTCCCTTGTTGTATCCTTTTTTTATAAGCTATAGGGAGAAAGGAGGGACCATATAACCAGTTCCAAAGCGAAACTCTCCTTTTAGAACTTACCCTCCTTCTCATAGAGAACATTAAATGGCTGCAGCAGTTCATGTTTGGCGCATTCCACCACGCCCATCCGGGCCTTCTTCTCATCTTCAAACGCTCTGGGTTGGGGAAGACAAATTCAGGTATCCTGCACTCCCTATCACGCCTCACCACTTTGCTCATGCTTTTACATAGATCCTACCCTCAGGCAGAAACATCCTTAGGACTGCTCTTTTATATTCTCTTCAATGCGGGAGATGGGGAGCATAAGAGAACCCTTGCATGCAGGCTGGAGCTACAAGTCCAGGCAGGAGGGGAGGGGGCAGAGGGGGTGGAGGAGGGAATGGTATTCCTGGGGTGTGTGGTCTATGAGTCACACCGGTGCCAAGCCCTGGCCTTGTGAAGTGCAGTATACCTTAAAGTGAACGGCATGGCATCAAAACGCCTTTCCACCTCGCTGAAGAAGGCACGTGAAGTTTTCATTTTCAGGCCATATTGTTTAGAAGGATCTCGTTTATAAATGGTGGTTCTCTGTCCTGCATCCTTGGCCTAAAAGAGTAAGTTAGGTCACATTTGTTCAGGTGCTCCTGGAACAAAAACAGTCCTCTCTCTTTGCTCGCTCTGTAAACTCCTCACCTTGCCCTCTCCTGAGCTGACAAGAACATCCACAGCATATACTTCATGGACCTCAAATTCAGCTTTCTCGTGGTCCTTCCTGAAAGGAATACAAAGGGAACAACCATAAGCAGTTCCTGGAGTTTGGAGTGAGGCTGGGAGTATAGGAGAAACACTCCTGACTAGTCTTGTATGGTGGAAAATAAAGGGTGGGTTGGCACTTACTTCTGCTGGTCTGTGGGATTCTGGATAATCGTCTTCTCTCCATCGATGACATGCTGCTTCAACTGGTGTGACAGCATACCTGTGGAGGGGGCAAAGCTTATGGTACCAACCATCCAGAATACCAAAGGTTTCCAAATCCACCCACCTAAATAGTTTGATGAGGCGGACAATGAGAGAAAAGCGCCTGGCTATAAGCTAAGGGCACTGAGGTTTTTGGCTTAGACTGCGCTACAGCCAGGATGGATCTCAAGGGAAGAAAACAGCCTTAATTATGCTAAATCACTGGTATTTTATACCCTCAACCCTGTTATCTGAGGTCTCACCTTCTATTGGCGTGCAATTAAATGAATGGGCAACTTTGTTCCAGGCTTCGGTCACTTGTGTGTTCTAGAAGTACAAGATCAAATAAAGGGTGAGATACCAGGGGCTAATAAGTTCTCTACTGTGTGAATAAGAAGCATAAAGAACTGAGAGTTCGAATATCCTCCATCAAGTACAAGGGATTCTCACTGGTTTTTCATGTCATAACCCTATCAATCCCTACAACCTAAACATATCTTACCCTTGCATCTCCTTTACAAAGAGTTTTCACAAAGATGGTCTAATCAAACAATTCTGGAAGGTGAACAGAGCAGATCTATACCGCAATCTAGATGATGAGGAATTTGCTCAGAACTAAACCAGTTATCAGAAAGAACCTGGTATAAACCCAGGCTTTATGACGATGTTTTGTTTATTCCATTATAACTGACTTTTAAAAAAATATATTTTACTGATTTTTTACAGAGAGGAAGGGAATGGGATACAAAGTCAGAAACATCAATGAGAGAGAAACATCCATCAGCCATCTCTTGCACACCCCCTACCGGGGATGTGCCCGCAACCAAGATACATGCCCTTGACCAGAATCGAACACAGGATCCTTCAGTCCACAGTTGATGCTCTATCCACTGAGCCAAACCGGTTTCGGCTATAACTGACTTTCTAAATTGTTGAGAAGGGACAGCAAACTCTTTGTCAATTCTCACCCGAGGATATTTTTCCATTGATTTTTAGAGAGTAGAAGGGAGGGAGGAGGAGAGAAATATGGATGTGAGAGAGAGAAACATTGATGTGACATATCACTTGGATGCCTCCCATATGCCCAGATCATGGCCAGGGACCGAGTGTGCAACCTAGGTACACACTCTTGACCAGAATCAAACTAGGAACCCTTAGGTCCACAGGCTGACCGTCTATCCACTGAGCCAAACTGACTAGGGCGAGGGACAGCAAACTCTTTATTCCCCCTTCTTACCTCTCAAACATGATCTGATCCTTAAACTACAGCGCTTAGACAAAAAAAAAAAAAGTGAATAACCAATCCCAGCTAATATTATTAAACTATGTACTAAATACTGGGATAATCATTTTAGACATGGTTCATCTCAATTGTTATAACTCTATAAAGAATAAGGCAGAATTTTATTTTCTCCATTTTACAGATGAGGGAATTTAAATTCAGTTATTTTTAAAGAGGTGACAATAGGGCAAGAATGCAGAAAATCTGATGTCATAGCTAGACACACTAGTTTCAGGTGAAGATACACATAGTTAAGTATATAAACAAAAGTGTGAAAAATAAAATTAAAAAAAATGATAAACGTGTTAAATAATAGTTAACACATATAATATGTGCTGGGCATTGTTCAAAGTGCTTTTTAACATCTGTGAAGTAGGTATCATAAGAAAACTGAGATTTAAGTAAAAATTATGCAATTAAGTGGAAATGGGGATGAAGTACAAACTGATTAAAAGCATGAAGAACAGATGGTATAGAAAGGAAGTAAGAAAAGACAATACTTTTAAACACTGAACAAATCTCACTTAGGTGTTAGAAAAATGTCTGCGCATAGTCAAAAACACTAAATTGTATTAATTCATGAAAAGTTTATGATACCTGGGCTTCCCAATATTGTGCGAGGTACAGAACTAACTTTTGGTCTCCCTTTGTCACCAGCACTATTACAGTTTTATTTATAACCTTTAAAAACACATCTCTGACTGAACACAAACTGTGCACCTATGGATAAGGACAATGGGGGATGGGGAAAGGGCAGAGGGTGGGGTGGGAACCTGGTGGAGGGGAGCAATGGAGGGAGGAAAAAAATAAAATGAACATTTATAATAATATGAACAATAAAGATTTATTTAAAAAAAAAATAAAAACACCTCTGTGTTATTACACGCTATCTATCTCAAACTATTTTCAGAGAAACGCACATCAAAAACACAAGGAAAGATCGCATATGGGGATATATGTAAGCTCCATATATTCCCATACAGTGAGCATGGAAGTGCCTATGATAGGCAGTCAGGATCTTCTGTTTACTATGAAGCTATTTAGCTCCTGCTTCATCTCTTATAGAATCCCATCCTAAGAGGTAGCTAATTAAAAAAAAAAAAAAAAAAAAAAAAAAGCAAGCTTTTTTATTAATTTCAGAGAGAGGGAGAGGGAGAAAGAGACAGAAACATCAATGATGAGAGAGAATGTACTCCCCACACTGGGGATCTAGACCGCAACCTAGGTATATGCCCTGACCAGGAATTAAACTGTGACCTAGTTCACAGGTTCATGAACCAGGCAGCTAATTTTAAAAAAGCTAAGTTGTATGAGGGTCGTGGGAGAAGTTGGCAGTTCAGCACAGGATAGTTGCAGGTGCCTAGTGCACCTGTGACTCCATTAAGCTTTGGAATTGGACTAAACAACTTACCTGATTTCCAGGTTTGACCAGGCGAAGGGCAGCTTCTGCACAGAGGTGAGCTGCCTTAATGACATCTGCCTTCCTCCCTGTCACTTGGGTCCCCTGTAGATAAGGAAAGACAAGCAGTGTCTTCCTGGAAAGCTCTTAGCTGGCTATTCAGCTAACATCTGTATGCCCATTATGCAAGGCCAGCCAATGAGAGAGAATACCCCCTTTCCTTTTATTTCTCAAGAGTCTCTGAACTTTCTGGTGGTAGAGCAGTGGTATGTGCCCCACAGGGGGGCAATTTGAGATGAGTTATTAACAGTGAATATTTTGCATTTTTTATGGTTGTAGGGACCTCACATATAGTGTATAAATATATAGTGACATATTTATGCATTTCAGTTCTCTATCATTTGTTTTGAAACTTTATTTGCTATTTCTTCATATCATTTCATTTAAAAAAAAAAAAACAATTTTAGTGATTTCTTCCTCAATATTTCACCTGCCCTTTCCTTTTATTTTTCTCTTTCATGGATGCCACGTTCTTTGGATGCTTGTTTAGACCAAGTTGATAGCCTTTTAGGCTTCCTCCACGTGAATAGGAGCTCACTTTTTAAATAATAAGAATTATATGTCACTGGGGGAGGGCCATTAGGATTTAGAGATGCTTAGGTGGGGCATGGCCAAAAAAGGTGGGGAGCCACTGTAATAGAGGGTGGGGATAAGAAGCAAGCAGTAGTGCACCCTCCCCCGTTCCCCAGAGTTCAAAGCAAACCACCTACCTGAGCTACACCAACCACAAAAGTGTGAGCCACATTAGCGATGAAGCCATCCACATGGACCCCAAGGTCACTGAAAAGAGCAGAGTACAGCATTAGCAATTGGGGCTATATAAGTGCTTAGAAAAAGACACGTGCTTTAAATTGATCCAAACTTACATTTTTACCAAGTCACCTTCCTTGAGAATATAGTCCTGGTCGCTCTTCAAAGGGGAGAAGTGACATACACAGTTATTTACTGAAATACTGGTGGGAAAGGCAATACCTGTGAAGAGAGAATCATCTGCCTTACTGCCTTGCTCTCTTAGGGCCCTGATGCCTCAGGAAAGCGGAAGGATCTTCTTTGGGGTCTTGCCTAAGTTTGATCAGTCTGGATTGGGTAGGAAACTGCTTATAACCCATTGGCCATTCCAAATTTTCAATATCTCAACCAGAGGTGGGGTGAGAGTTGCATCATTATGACAAATAAACAGGACTGAATAAGGGTCAAATGGGGGAAATTAGTGGGGGATTGATATTTTACCTTTCTTCATTTCTTTTTCTTTCTTGAAAATTTTCCCTGTTTCTTCCATAATCATGGCATCGCCTTTCTCACACAGGCTCAGCACCGACACACCTGAGCAGGATGCTTCCACCAAAGTCCGAAGTACCCCTGGGGACAGAACCCCACCATGTCAGATCTGGATGTGCTGTCTAAGTTACAATCCAACAATACCTAGAAGTTGGACCCACAGTTTCTAATACTCCCTAGTACACTGCCCTAAGGCTGAAAGAGGGAACATGTCTTGCTTTTTATAATGTGCCTACCTTTCATCTCTTAAGTTTCTACCTTCCTTTCCTAAATTAAGACGTCAACATTCCCTTCCCTTCCTTATATGACAGCTGGGCATACACAAGTCTCCCTAGCAAGGCAGACTTTCCAAAGAGGACACCTGTGGTGTGGTAGGGCAGAATTGTGAAACTCAAGGGGATCCTCACCAAAGTATCTCACATACATGCAAAGCAGGAAGAAATTTATGGGAGTCAGGGACAACAGAAAAGCAGGCACAGAACTGCTGACTCAAAGCTGATGCGTTGTGAAATGCTACCTTCTCCCTTCAGACACCCCAATTAGGTGTTAGTAATTCAATTTATGTAGGCTTATTTCCGCAAAAACAGGTGTATAAGCCAGGGGACTTAATCTAAGGTCCCTGGGCCAAGGCAGGCTCATGGCTTACAGCTTTGGGCAGGTTGCAAAGAGGTACGTGACCTAAAAGAGTTTCAAACTGGTAACTGTGATCATAGTGCCTCAGAAGTGCAAGAGGGGAAACATTTTTTCTGATTCAAACCACTCACTAATATAATGTTACAAAAACGGGGGTACTACACTAAATGTCCATTATGTTACAAAGCATCTCCCTGGTCCACCCTGAACAGTGATTTTTGTAATCTAAGTTTTGGTGATTCTTTGGGGCCTGAAACTCGGGTTTTCCAACATAGGACCCTAAATACCAATCCGTACCAGTCAGAACCACTTAAAAGCCCAACGACAAGCACTTCTGTCCCCTCGGACTGGGCTTCAAGTTGGAAAGGTGAAATTGTAAATAGAGGAAACAGAACGTGAGGCATCTGCCTACAGTGGCAGGCAGCTGCCGAGAAAGTCAGAGCAGTCCTAATAAGGATGACTTCTGAGATCCTAAAACCAGGGCCCCCCTTGTCCGGCACTATTCACAAGTTTGCCTGGCTGGGGCTGTCAAGCCCCTGAGAACAATCAAAGTTGAAGACTAAGGCTATCTGCACAAATTGAAGGTAGTGACCAATAACTTCAAGAAAAGCCAGATGTATCCCCAAGAGGGGGTGAGGAGCTCCAAGGGTGCCCTCCAACGGTCCCTGGGCTGGCCCGCGCGGAGAAGGGGGTTCCCACAAGGGAAGGAGTTGAAGTGAGGAACCAAAGACTCGGCAAAGCACGTGGGAGGGAAGCTGGTGTCAGGGAGGCACCGGCGATCCGCACAGGGACCGGCCACACGTGCCGGCGTCAGGTTGGCTCCTGACTCTGGGGGAGCCCCGACAAAACAAGAGGGGCTCTTCCGTTGCCAACAGCTGGGTGCTTCCTTTCCCAGATGCCAGAACTAAAGGAGGCAGCGATCCGGACCCAAGGGTGAGCCGGGGATGCGCCCGCCCTGCCTCCTTAGCAACGGCCTAGAGTCCGCGCGGGTCAGACACCTACTCCGAGCCCCCCCCTTCCGCCGGCCCGCACCCCCAGACTGCAACCCGGGCCTGGACGCCAGGTCCCGGGCGCGACAGTCTTCCCACCCCGCCACCCCGGCGGACCGGCGCGGGGCCCTCCGGAGCTCACTCCGCACGACCCGCCGCTCCGGCCACTCCCGGGACAGCCCGTGCCGTCCCCCTGGCTCCTCTCAGCCTAGATCCCGGACTCCCGAGGCCGTACTCACGGTTGGCGATGTCGCCCCCCATCTTATACTTGGTCACGACCAGGTCCTCGGCGATAGTTTGCTCCTGCTGCTCGTCGTCGCCCGACATCTTCCCGCCGCCACCACCACTGCAGCAGCCTTGTTCCCTTGAGCCACCGCCTGGGTCTCCCTCCCTCGCCACAGGCTGTGGCCGAAGCCCCTTCGATTGGCGAGGAGAGCGCGAGCAAGAGCGCGAGCTAGCAAGGGAGCGGGCGGGCAGGAGCGAGCAGGGGCGAGCGCGCGGGCTGAGGCGCGGGGCACGACGGGACAGCGAGTCCTCCCCGCCGCCAACCTCCAGCCGCCCTCGGGGCCGCCGGAACTACCACTCCCAGCCTGCCTTTCGCGCCTGCACGCCAGGCCCCTGGGCCTGGCCCTACGAGAGCCTCGCACGCTGGACTCGCCGGGCACGCCGGGAAGGGTCAGGCTCCGGCGGGAAGGCGGAGCCGTTGGGGAGTCGGAGCAGCGTGGTCGGTCCCTCCCGGAAAAGCCGTGCCTCCCCGGAGCCGGAGCTGGGGCCTTTAATGGGTGGGGCGGGCTGAGAGAAGGGCGGAGCGACTGCGGGGAGAGGAGTTGGAGGCGGGAGGCAGGGTGGAGCCCAGATGACGGGGTGACCGGATTAAATTTAGGGAAGAGCTGGGCGCGCCCTTCCTCGGAGACCTGGAGCATCTGGCGGGACCTGCCCCGCCGGTACCGCCGCCGGAGCCGGGAGGACCGGGAGGGGCAGAGCGGGTGTGGAGGGAGACCCGCGGGCTCTGAGGACTCTCCATTTACAGCCTCCCGCCTAGAGGCCGGACCCCGCTGAAGATGGCACTGTTGTCCCGGCAATAGGCTTGGTGGCACCTACGCCAAGTGCTCAGGGCGGCTTTCGTAAAAGAGTGAGTGCTCAGCCCTAGAGCGTCTGCCTGCAGACAGGTCCCCGGCTGGACTCCGGTCAGGGGGGTCAGGGGCTCATGCCGGGGTTGAGGGCTCCAGCCCCAGTGGGGGGTGTGGAGGAGGCAGCGGATCAGTGATTCTCTCTCATCATTGATGTTTCAGTCCCTCTCCCTTTCTTTCTGAAATCAATACAAATATATTTAAAACAAAAAGAGCCCTGACCGGTTTGGCTCAGTGGATAGAGCGTGGGCCTACGGACTGAAGGGTCCCAGGTTCGATTCCGGTGCGGGCACATCCTCAGTGGGGGGTGTGCAGGAGGCGGCTGTCGGTGTTTCTCTCTCATCGTTTCTCTCTCATCGATGTTTCTAACTATCCCTCTCCCTCTCTGTAAAAAAAAAAAAAAATCAATAATTTTTTTTTAATTTAATCAAACATGGAATTCAGCATTTCACCTCTTGAGGAAGCATATCTATAGGGCTTAAAAAATTTATATATATATAAATTACTGATTTTTTACAGAGAGGAAGGGAGAAATATTGATCAGCCGCCTCCTGCACACCCCCTACTGGGAATGTGCCCCTGACCCGAATGGGGACTCTTCTGTCGCAGGCTATTGCTCTATCCACTGAGCTAAACCGGCTCTGATTTATAGGTTTTGTTGTGTTTGTTTTTTTTTTAACTTCCCCAAACTTTTTCATTCCTAGTTGATTGCCTGTACATTCCTCATTAAACCTTTAAATGAAAATGATTGTGTGCTATGGTTCTCTTCTTTAAATTTTTTTTTAATATTTAAAAAATATTTTTTTATTGATTTCAGAGAGGGAGAGGGAATGAGAAACAGCAATGATGAGAATCATTGACTGGCTGCCTCCTGCACCCCACCTACTGGGGACCGAGCCTACAACCTTGGCACCATTTCCTTTCCTGGAATCGAACCTGGAATCTTTCAATCCGAAGGCCAATACTCTCCACGGAGCCAAACTGGTACAATATTTTAAAAATATATATTTTTATTGATTTCAGAGATGGAGAGGGAGAGAGAAACAATGAGAGGGAATCCTTAATGGGCTGCCTCCTGTAAGCCCCAGTGATCTCGAAACTGCCCTGGGGATTCCGCAACCGGGGCATGTGCCCTGAGTGGAACCCAACAGTGATCTCTTGGTTCATGGGTCAACACTCAACCAGTAAGCCCTGCTGGCCAGACTTTTTTTTTTTTTTTAAATATATTTTATTGAGTTTTTACAGAGAGGAAGAGAGAGGGATAGTCAGAAACATCGATGAGAGAGAATCATCGATCAGCTGCCTCTTGCACACCTCCTACTGGGGATGTGCCCACAACCAAGGTACATGCCCTTGACGGGAATTGAACCTGGGACCTTTCAGTCCACAGACTGACGCTCTATCCACTGAGCCAAACCGGTTTTGGCTGGCCAGACTTTTTAAATTTTTTATTTTTAGAGGATGGTGATTAAAGCTGGGGACAGTGAAACAAGGAAGGGCCTAAGATAGAAGCAATAGAAAAGAGACGAGGTGGGGAAATGAGCCTAAGCTGGGCTGCTTTGACTCACTAAGCCAGAGGAAAGGGGGCCTTGAGGACTGGGTGAGGGCTTAGCTGAGGGTGAACTGCTGCTAATTGTTGTCCTGGTTGCAAGTCTCAGGGATCCGTTAGTTTAGGGAATGCATGGCTGAGGGGGGAGGAAAGGTTGGCATGGTCCTGGGAGGGAGAGCATGCTGAGGGGATGCAAGGAAAAGGAGGGCTGGAGAAAGCTGCATGGAATAGAGTAGGACTGTGAAAACAAAGCAGGAAAAAGAGGTAGCTATGTTCTGCCGAGGAGCACAGGGATGGTCTTACTGAAGATTTTCTTCATTTGACAGACAGAAAGCTGAAAAACGTTGGCATTTTTATTCAGACACGTATAAAAACAAAACATAAAACTTCAGTGATAGAACAAATATCTCCCATTTCCCACGCAGTGGGAGAAGTCTGAAGGTGGGTCCTCTTTCTATCCCAAGCAGAAGCTTCCTATTATTGGGTGAGAAAACTTCTAAAAGTGGCTCTTGGGACCCTTGTGATTCTGTCCCTTGGGTAAAACGTGGAGATCCCTTATAGCTCATGTAAATTACGGTTTACACAAAAATGTCCAGTTATGTTTCCTTCTGACCACCCCCTTCCTGAGATGAGAAGTCTGGGTGTAGGAGGCTGTGGTTGCTGGGGTTAGACTTAATTCAGTGCAAAATACAAGATAATGCCCTTTATATGGGCTCTGGTTTGTACCTGTTTTCCTTGATACCTTACAGTAAGAGCACACACCTGGTAAGATTTTGAATCTTGGACCTGCCACCTAATCTGTCTAAGGCTCAGTTCCTTATTTGTAAGGAGCTATAAACTATTATAGTTCACAAGATTGGCATATGGATTAAGTGGGGAGGGGGAATGCAGGTAAGTTTAGCACGCTGCCTGGCACAAAAATAAAGGCTCACTTAATAGCAATCATTAATATTACTCCTGAGCTTCCTTCACAAGATTTAAAATTTCCCATTCTTTTCAGGTGGTTGATGATAGCCAAAATTTTACCTCCCCCTGCCAGGTTTTGCTCTTTTTCTTTGCCGTAGGAGTCTGATGGAAAACAAAGGCACACTTAAAGCCTAGTCTCAACAAGTTCGAGTCTGAGAGAAAGGGACTTGATACTGGAGTAATGAAATGGGTATGGGGTCTAAGGGAGTAATCCTTCATATCTCCGGGGAGTTCCCCTGAGAGAGCGGAAGAGTGGGATTGGGAAAGCACACAAAACAGGGAAAACCTACTTTCCAGGGACTGGGAAAGTGAAGAAAGTGCACAGCCAGCTACATGCCCCAAGAACTCTGTCCTAGTGTTTCAGAGCCTCCAAAGGTTGAATGGAATTGTCTAGGATGGGAGGGAGAGGGACTTGGGAGAAGAGGGGTACCCTCTAGAGGCGCTAGCTGCCATCACTGCTCCTGAGCACCTCAGGGAGCAGGGGTTATGTTCTCTGGGCGTTAGCCTTGGGGAAAAGCCTGCTGTGCCAGTAATCCGGGTTATCAAAGGCAGAGTCAGTGGCTTCTAAGCTACGTAGCGTTTTGAGGCGGGCATACTGGACTTGGGGAGCATAGTGTCCAGGCCCCTGGAAGGCCTTCATCTCTTCATACCCTTGTTCAGCTGCTGGGCAGGCCCCCATGGCCGCATAATCCCCCCCAGCACCTCCTCCACCACGTCGCTTATTCATATATTCATAGTCTTCGTCTGGAGTTGTCCCAGGGGTAGGCATGATGGGCACAGGGTGGAGCGGGCAACTCTGGGTGCTGCCCAGGGAAGCACTGAGGTCTGATCCCACATCCATGTACTCATAGCCCAGCTCCTCGAGGGAACTCGGCCTTGGGGGACGAGGTGGACTGTGCCTTCTCCTCCGGTTCATGTATTCATACTCCTCATCTTCATCTTCTTCTTCGGTGCCCAGGACAGAACTGAGACCCACGGAAGAAAGCGTCCCTTCCCGTGAGGATGGAGTACCTAGGGGTTGAGAGGAGAGGCTAGCTATGTGGAGACCTTCACAGTGATTAGTGGGCGGTAGGGAGTGGAAAGAGTCAGGCAGGGCAGGGCAGGGGGTGGGGAGGTGATGAGGAATCAGGTACCTTTGAGGGGTGCGTCTGGCATGACATAGCCATTGACATCCTCCTCCTCTAACCCTGGCGGGGAGAGTGGGGTGACGGGAGTGAGCAGGCTGTGGCGCTGGGAATGGTAGGCACTGTCTCCACGTGGCCGCGGGCTCCGGCTCCGGCTCCTGCACATGGACACCTTCTCCTGGAGCTCAGCTTCAGAGCCTGTCACATGGCCCTCCGATGACTCTGACACCAGGCGTCCCCGTGGGTGCAGAGAGGCTGGCCGGGGGCACCGTTCACCACCCCCACAAGCTACAGGCTCCTGAGGAAGAAAAAACACACAGATATTTACAGGGAGATGATTGCGAGCAATTTTGTAGGACACTGAGAAAACCTCAAAGATTTCTGAGATCTCCCACACTCCCCCTGTCATCCTAAGACATTCTGCCACCCAGCATCTCGGCAGCCCCTAAAGAGACAGACCTTACCTGGCAAGCTTCCCCAAGGTTACTCTGGTTCATAGGCATATATCCAGATGATGGGCTTATAAGGCTCTGGCTCTAGGATGGAAACAGAGGTTTAGACAGGGAGACATCATGGGTCCCCTGAGTAGTTAATCTGAGTGTCTGTGGGGTTTCTGAGGGTGCGGGTGTGCAGAGTGCTCTAAAGCGCCTTACCCCACGTGGCCAAGTAAGTGTCCCAACGGGCAGGCTCAGGGCAGAGCCCAGTGTTGTGGTCAGATTGTCCTCCTCTGCCTCCAAGTCTAGGTCCAGGTCCAGTTCTGGCTCCAGCTCCACTTCCTCCAGCTCCTTGTCTGTCAGAGCAGGGGCCTCTGCCCCAGGGGGGATTCCAGGTCCACTCTCTCTCTGTAGGGGCAGGTGATTGTTAAGGTAGATCCTGGTTCCAGACAAATCCCCTTTGCTCTAAATCTCATCTCCTTGACACCTCCTAGTCCCTGCTCACCTTTATGACCAGATACCGTGGTGGGTCTCGGGCCATCCTGGTGAACTCATTGGCTAGTTCTTTAAAGGTTGGGCGAATGTTCTCATCAATCATCCAACCTGGGGAGGGAGTGGAGAGGAGTAAGATGTGGGAAGTAGAAGCATGAGAGAAGAGGAGAACAGGGAGGGAAGTCGGGTGGCTAAGGGCTGGCATCCGCAGGTAACTCACACTTGACCATGACCATGTAGACATCAATGGTGCAGATCTGGGGCTGTGCCAACCGCTCCCCCTTCTCCAGCAGGTCTGGTACTTCAGCCAACCGCAGCCCTGCATAGGGCTCTGCCCCGAAAGTCATCAGCTCCCAAACTGTCACACCTGGGACAGGAAGACATGCCTGGTTGATGGCAAAATAGCGGCGCTGGGCATGGAGATGAAGGGAAGGCAGAGCACTCTGACACAGGATCTGAAGGGCTTGAAGATTCTAAGAGGAGGTCTCAAAGGCAACTGTGAAATTGGGGCCATTCACATGGACTGACCGTAGCTCCAGACGTCACTCTGGTGTGTGTATTTCCCAAAGTGGATACTCTCGAGGGCCATCCACTTAATTGGAGTCTGGGAGATTAAAGGCAAAGGTGAACCAGTTATTTCCACAAATTACCTTAGCATTTCTGAACCCCAATTCTCCACATTCTCCGCTGTGTTGCTGTCTCAACTTCCATTTCTGGCATCTTCAGATTTCCCTCCCTGAACTGATCCTGCTGCATCTGCTTCCCTCTGGAAGGGACCACTGGCTGCTCCCCACCTCCCTGCTTCTCCCCACTCCCACCTCCTTACCAGCCCTTGGTGCCACCTACCTTGGCCTCACTGTGCAGCAGCTGTTTATCATCCGGGGGCAGCAGGTCAGCCACCCCAAAATCTGCCACCTGAACCTGACTGGTTGACTTGAGTAACACGTTTCGGGCGGCTAAGTTCCTGTGAACCATGCCATGCTCCTCCAGGTAGTACATACCCTATAGAAAGAAATGTCCTCAAGATTGAGAGATCCAGAATCACCCCAAACCCTAACGGTGCCACTCAGAACTCCACCCTCCCTGCTGCCTCCCTGCAGGTCCCCAGCCAGGCAGTCCCATCAGACACTCCTCGCGGCCCCTCACCTTGGCAATCTGTACTCCCCAATTGAGCAGCAGCTGTGGCCCCAGGGACGCCCGGTGTTGTCTCACATGATCCAGCAGGGACCCCAGAGGCAAGTACTGAGTGACAAGCTGCAGAGATGACCCTGGGCACAGGCCTAGCAGCCGCACGATGTGAGCATGGTCCAGGCTGCCAATGGCCAGCATGTGCTGAGACACGAGAAGAGGGTTATCCAAGGCACAAGCAGGTTCACTCACACCCAGACCAGAGCCTCCCCAACGGTCAGCACGTCCACAGGGCACACAGGATCTGCTAGCACAGGCCATGCTTCTGCACAACTGTAGGTAACACCGACCTTCCTAGTGGACTACAGAAAACCCCTCCTGCACTTACATCCGTCACAGCTTGAAAACTTTGCCGTCCACTCTTATCCTCAATGACTTTTATGCAGACTGGGATCTTTATGGACTCGCCCTCCGGAATCCACACTCCCTGGAAGTTTTAAGCAGGCGTCAGCCTAAGCCATCCTCCTCAGGCTCGCCCTTTCCCCACCTCCCGGACCTTCACTTTCCGTGAGTCACTCACCTTGTGCACGGTCCCAAAGACGCCTGAGCCGAGCACTTTAAGCTTCTTCAGCTCCGTCTCCTTGAAGATTCTGGCCAAGACTTTGTTAGCCTTCTCACTGGGGTCCAGAGGCTCTATGCTCTGAGGGGCAGACGGGAAGGAGGGACTCAGGAAAGCCCACTCCCACCCATGACCCACCCCAACTCCCTCCTCTGGCGTGGTTGCCAAGGGCAGCAGAGCTCAAAGGGAGGGAGCAGGAAGAGGAATTGTCTTCGAAAGCACGGAAGGCACATTAGGACGTCACAGACCCCATGACAGAGGAAGTTATTTGTGATCATGAGATTAGGAATCAAGAGGGTGGGTTTTTCCCTCTGATGAAAGCCAGGAGTGTTAATTCTATCCCTTGAGTTCTTTTATACAATTCTCTGTGTTTTCAAAGCACTTTCACATGTGTCACCCCTTCCACCGTTACAGCCATCCTGTAAGGATGAGGGCTACTATAATACTTCCTCTGTGTACATTCACACTGAGGCACAGAAGGAAAGGAATTTCTCCAGAACCACGTGGCAAATGAACGGCAAAATCGGGGGGAGAAAGCATGTCTCCCAATCCTCTGGTCAGAGTTCTTTCTAAGGGTCAAATCTCAGGGGAGGAGGAGGCTCTTAGAGCGTGATGGCAGAGGGCACTTTTCCAGAGTGAGCGGCACACTCACCTCACCCCGCTCCAAGTAGCGCCTCATCGCCCTCTTATGCTGGATCCGACGCCCACGCCAGTAGAGGATAGAGCTGCTCAGGACCACGAACACCACCACCAACCCCACCACCACCGCTAACGCCATCGCCAGATGCGTCTTGCTGTGGGCAGAGAAACCTGGCGTTACCCTCGGGCCACACCCCCTCCCCAATCACCTGCGCCTGTCCCGAAAGGGCCCGTGCGCACCGGGGGCGAGCGGTTCACGTGCACAGAGAGAGCCCTGAGCACTAAAGGGTTAACCCAAATCTGGACCTTCCGAGGCTCCTGTGGGTTAATTTTAGAAAGGAAGGGCCAGAAGGCTGGATTCTTGTGCCCCGAGTCCAGCGATAGTGAACTGTAAATAGAAGGCCAGGAAGAGTAGACTCCTCTTCCCAGCAGATAACTGCCCTCTCCCTGGCTTCTCCCCCGACGGCCCCCGCGCCCCACGTCTCCGGGCCCCTCGTACCTGATCATCGCTGGCGTTTGGCCCAAGCAGTCCTGCAGGTCAGGCCCGTTACACCTAGAGAAGACAGTCGCCTCCGTAAGCAGGAGCTGGAGAACCCACGGACGCTCATTCCATTCCAACAGCCACGGCACCTTTTCAGACCCTCTCACGGCGTCCCACCCCGGCGCCCGAACACATCCCAAGACATGGCCTCCACCCCGAGCAGGCCCACCCTCCCCGACGCCCTCTGTGAACAAAATCCCGAGCTGTGTCTACACCAGGCCCCAAAATTGTGGTGTGATTTCGTGCTGTTACCGAGCATCCCTTTCTCCAACCCTTCACTGTGCAGCTGGGAGTGATTCTTAAATCAGTTCCTTTCTTCTTTCTCCTCCTTCACCCTCTTCCCTCCTCCTAGCCTGTTCTCCTCCCTCTCCCCGACCCCCTCCTCTTAACACCCCGTCACTGACCCCTGGGTGCAGTTCTCATGGCAGGGCCGGCATTCATTCTGGGCATCTGGGAACTTGTAGATGGGGCCCTTGGCACCCAGCACTCCAGAGGGGCAGCTGCTCACGCAGTGGGGCCCATCTCGAAAATGGGCACACTGGGCACAAGCATCGGAGCCCTGGGTGGGAAAGGAAAGGTCAAGGAAAGTGCGACTCCAAGGTCAATACCATATCTCCTAACGAGGACCAACCCGGCCGTTCAGGGTCCACCTTCCACAAACCCTGGCCTTGTCTGGCCTCCCTGTGCCGGCCTGAGGTTGGGCCATCTCATTCCCTGGATTCTCCAGTGCGGCCCGCCCTCTCCCGAGACCCTGGTGCCGCTACTGTACCGAGCCATTGCATGTGGCAGTGCCCTCCAAGAGCTGGCATTCCGGGTGGCAGGGGAAGCATTCAGCCTCATGGGCAAACTCACGAGGCTCCCTGCAGTGAGGAAAGGGGGGCATTGGGGGCAGTCACTTTGAACAGCTCGTCCCAGGGCCCCATCCCTCCACCTCTTCTTTTTTTAAAAAAACAACATATTTTTTATTGATTTCAGAGAGGAAGGGAGGAGAGAGACAGAAACATCAATGAGGGAGAATCATTGATCAGCTGCTTCCTGCATGCCCCTCACTGGGGAGCAAGCCCACAACCCGGGCAGGTGCCCTTGACTGGAATCGAACCCAGGACCCTTCAGACCATAGGCAGACACTCTATTCACTGAGCCAAACCAGCTAGGGCCCTCCACCCCTGACTCTGTCTCGCCTCTCCGTACCCATTCAGAAAGTTGCAGTGGGTCACACAGACACCTCCTCGGCTGTAGTTTCGACAGGACAGGCACTGACCAGGGCCTGGGCCCCAGCATCCCCCAGAGGAGCAGAGTGGGTCACACACTTTGCCCTCTGCCACTGGAAAGGAAGGGGTGTGTCGGGAGGAGTCTGAGGTCTCCCAACAAGCCCTCCCCTGAATGCTTCCTCCTTCCTGCCTCCAGCCCTCTCTCCTTGACTCCCTCCACCCCCACCCCTACTTCCCTCCCCCCCACTTCCAGGGCAGAACAGTCCTTACACCCCTCTCCCTCGCAGACTCCCTCTCCCCACTCCCCGTGGGCCTCTCCTCACCGCAGTCTCTGCGGGGCCGATTGTGCTTGATGTCCAGTCTCTCCTCAGAAGGCCCTCGAAGCAGCCTGGTCCAGTTGAGAGAGTGGTGGTAGCAGAGCTGCCGATTGGCACTTATGTAGATCCGCCCAGCACTGATCTCTTTCAGGGACCGGAAGCCCAGAGATGTTATGTTCAAGTTCTTCATGATCAGCAGTGAGAAGCCCCGGCTGAGGACAAGGAGACGGATGAGAGGGGAGACCACAAAAGGAAGGTGTGCCATACAGCGGACTCATTTCCGTCCAACAGCCTGCTCCGGGCTATCACCCTGAAAGGGACTCCTCCCTCCTCCTGCCTTTTCTCCATCCTCCTCCCAGGCCCACCTTCGGGGCTGCTGGGTGAGAAAACGCCTTCCTTAACTCACTCGGAGATGCCTCAGAAGCAGAGTTCGCTACCTGGAGATGCCAGCACCTCCGCACTCGTACTCACTTGTACAGGCTTCTGCCCCCAATGGTGGTCAGGTTGGAGAAGACACTGAAGTTGTGCATGTGGGGAGGCCAGGACTGGATGTTCAGGTAGCCTGAGGGGTGGGAGAGGCATATGAACAGGCGCCGTCTTCTCTCCCTCTTTCTCAGGTTCTCCCGGTCCCTCCCCTGTTGCTTGAAACTTGATCTTTTTCAAGTGGTTCTACTACAATTTGTGCCAATGGCTGATCTATTCTTCTCAGAAAGGGCGCTTCTCCCACTCACCCGTGATCTCCCGTACGGTCCGGAAGACATTGAGCTTCTCGGGGTCCAAGGCAGGGATCTTGTGCCAAGGGTCTCTGAAGAGGACGGTAAAAAAGTCAACAAGGTAGAGGTACAGGCCATCAGCAGTGAGTGCCTAACCTCAGAACTTATTTCTAAATACCCTTCTCCATGGAAAGGACAGAGCTCCTTAGAGAAATAACTGGGGCAAGAGAAATACAACAGGAGCCTACAGCACCTTTAAAAAAAAAAATTTAGAGAGAGGCAGGGAAGAGAGAGAAATGTCACTGTGAGGGTGAAACATCATATCAATCAGTTGCCTCTTGCACACGACCAGGAATCCAACCTGCAAACTGGGAATCGAACCCGCCACAACCCAACATTCCAACCAACGGTGCAAGCCTACAGCATCTTGCAGAGAAAATTAAGCAAATGTTCAAATAACGAGGGATCTAAGCCCAAAGAACACAGGGACCAACTTGAAGGAGCCCCCAGAAACCCTATTAGAGACAACTGGACACCAAAATAATGATTGTAAAAGACTATAAACCACTGAATGAAACAAATACTTACACTGATTAGATCAATAGCGGTAGGAAGGGAAGACTTCCTAACACTAGATCAATAGCGGTAGGAAGGGAAGACTTCCTAACACTAGAATGCCAACAAACAAATGCAGAAGGATAATGGAATTAGAAAATAATTATCTGGAAATTCTCATTATAAAATTAATTCAGGCAAAGTCTCCCCCACAGGATTCTTATTAAGCTCTGGATGGTCCTGCTCAGTGGTTAGAGTGCCAGCCCTTGGACCGAAGGGTCTCGGGTTCAATTCCCAGTCAAGGCCACATACCTAAGTTGCAGGTTCAATATCCGGCCCAATTTGGGGGCATGTGGGAGGCAACCAATTGATGTGTTTCTCTCACATCAGAGCTTTTTCTCTCTCCCCCTCCTTCCCTTCCATTATTTCTAAAAAACTAATGGAGAAAATACTGTCGTGTAAGGATTAACAACCACTAAAAGCATGCCTGGCAGTGGTGGCTCAATGGTTGAGCATTGATCTATGGACAAGGAGGACACAGATTAATTCCCAGTTGAGGACTCGATCCTCCCCAATTATGCAGGAGGTAACCGATCAATGATTCTCTCTCATCATTGATATTTCTTTCTTTTTTTTTTTAATGTATTTTATTGATTTTTTATAGAGAGGAAGGGAGAGAGCCAGAGAGCCAGAAACGTCGATGAGAGAGAAACATCGACCAGCTGCATCCTGCACATCCCCCACCGGGGATGTGCCCGCAGCCAACGGACATGCCCCCGACCGGAATTGAACCCGGGACCCTTCAGTCCGCAGACCAATGCTCTACCACTGAGCCAAACCAGCCTCGGCTCATCATTGATATTTCTATTTCTCCCCGCCTCTCCCTTCCTCTCTGAAATCTGTATTTCTATCTATCTATCTATCTATCTATCTATCTATCTATCTATATTTAAAAGCATAACTTGGCCCTAATCAATTTGGCTCAATGGATAGAGCATCGGTCTGCGGACTGAAGGGTCCCGGGTTTGATTCCAGTCAAGGGCAATGCCCGGATTGCGACTCAATCCCCAGTAGGGGGTGTACAGGAGGCAGCTAATCAATGATTCTCTCTCATCATTGATGTTTCAATCTCTATCCCCCTTCCTTTCTCTGAAATCAATAAAAATGTTTTTGGTTTTTTTTTTAAAAGCATAACTTGAACAGGAATGTAAAGTACAAGAAAGTTTTGCAATATAGTAGTAATACTGCAATATGTATGGTGCCAGATGGATACTGAAAATGTCAGGGGAACACTATGTAAAGTGTATGACTGTCTAGTCACTATGCTGCACATCTAACACAGATGCAAAATAATATTGAAAGTAAACTGTAATTGAAAATTTTAAATAATAAACTTCTAAAAAAATTTTTTTAGTATTTTTATTGGTTTCAGAGAGAACATGGAAGAGGGATAGAAACATCACGATGGGAGAGAATAATGGATCGGCTGTCTCCTGAACACCCCACCTTGGGGACTGAGCCTGCAACTGGGGCATGTCCCCTGACCGGGAATCGAACTGTGACCTCCTGGTTCATTGGTCAACGCTCAACCACTGCGCTGCGCCTGCCAGGCAATAAACTTTTTTTAAAAAGCATAACTCAGAGACTCTGCGTATGAGGAAACATCACAAAATCCAAACTGAGGAACGTTATATCTGTTACCTGGCCTGTACTCATCAGTAATGTCAATGTCATGAACTATTATAGATGAAAGAAGACTGAAGAGATATAACAACTGAATACAATGTGTAATCCAGGAAAGTGTGAGACAGAATGAAATGTGTGTGCGTAGAAAGAAAGAAATAATAATAAAGCATCTATATATATAAAAGCCTAAGGAAACATAATGACTAGTCAACCAGTCACTATGATGTGCACTGACCACCAGAGGACAGATGTTCAATACAGGAGCTGCCCTCTTGTGGTCAGTGTGCCCCCAGAGCCAACCTCCCACAGTCCCTCCCCCACCCCTCTCCCCACCCCATCCCCCAGGTCCCGGCCAGCAACCCGGAGGCCCCAGTCGGCCTGGCCCCGATTGGGACTGGGCGAGACGGCCCTGATAGGCCCTAATTGCCAGCCAGACCTAGGGACTCTAAGCCTCTCGTGTGATATAATGTTAACACTTGGGGGATGTGAATAAAGAGTGTAGGGGAAATCCTTACACTGCTTTTGCAACTTTAGTGTAGATCTAAAATTCTGTCAAAACAAAGAGGACAGGTGGCCCTAATGTTACACATACACACACACTTTAAAGGGATCAGAAAGTCCATTTGCTCTCTGTGGCTCTTCTCTAGGGAACAGCAACTAGAGGAAACAGCTGGCAGATTTTTATCTAAATTTAAGAAAACGTTAAGGAGGACACCATGTCCCTTGCTATTCAGCTGGGTGATGTCAGGTTGCTTAGGGATACGTCTGAGGGGACTCAAGCCCTAGTGGGAGGTTGAGTTAAGCACCGTCAGGTCCTTTGTGATTTCTAAGATTTTATGATTTAGATTCCTAATCAGCCTCACGTATGAAGCGTGAAGCCAACGCAATGATCTGTGAGGGGAGGGTTGGGGAGGGGGCCAGGAGGAGAGGCAGGATCTCTGACCCGTTGAGGCCGGTGATGAGGAAGTCCAGGTTGCCCAGGATCTTGGTGCAGTTCACAAACCCGTCAATGTTGCTCGAATCCACAGTCTGATATCGGCTCCCAGAGCCGGTCCCCTCACAAGCTGCAAACACACACACAAAGAGGCTCAGTGAGGGTTGGGGTAGAGGGGAATCGCCTCAGGGTAAAGGGATGTCTTTCACCAACTTACTTACCTTTGGGGCAAAGCCCCCCACAAGGTTCACATATCTTGAGTCCATTTTTATCCACTTCCATCTTGTCAGGAGGGCAGGCCCTGACGCACGACGTCTGGTCCACCACGAAGTTATCTGGGGAGAAGGAGGGCACGTGGAGGCGAGGGAGGAACGCTGCCGCTGCCACCTGAACCCTGCTCCCTCCTGCTCCATGAGGCACCTGCCCCCACCCACCCCCCGAGGGTCCTTAGCGCCGTCCTCTGGGTTCGGAAGGCCCTCTGCTCTGTGCTGCTCCAAGGAGCAGAGCTCAGTGCGATGGCCGGGTGACGCAGGGACGTTCACGAGCGGCTGGGGCACGGGTCCTTCCCTGGGGCTGGTTGATGATCACAACCATTTGTCCTCTAAGGTAAGGTGACCAGGCAAAACCGGTTTGGTTCAGTGGTAGAGCGTCGGTCTGTGGACTGAGGGGTCCCAGGTTCGATTCCGGCCAAGGGCATGTACATTTGTTGCGGGCACATCCCCAGTGGGGGATGTGCAGGAGGCAGCTGGTTGATGTTTCTCTCTCATCGATGTTTCTAGCTCTCTATCCCTCCCTCTCCCTTTCTCTCTGTAAAAAATCAATAAAATATATTTTTAAAAAAAGATGTATCATAATACATCTATTAAAAAAAAAATAAGGTGACCAGATGTCCAACAGTTTGTCTCATGGCGTTTTAAAAAAAGTATGGAAAAAATCTGGGCTTTTTTAAAACGCCGCGGGACGCGGGACACATTGCTGGACAGCGGGACTGTCCCGCCAAAAGCGGGACGTCTGGTCACCTTACTCTAAGGCTCCGCCTCACCACCAACCTGATCCCCTCGCCTCCTACAATGCTGTCTCACATCCTGGTCCCACTGTCACTGTTCCTTCCTTCCGGGGACTTACGGGGGCAGCTGGCCACGCAGACGCCTCCGTACTGGTACTTGGTGTGAGGATTGGGCTCCAGCTGGAAGGTCAGCTTGTTGTAGACGAGAGGCTGCGGACACTGCCGCACGCAGGCTCCGCTGTCGTTGAAGAGCCGGCAGGCCTGGGCACACGGGAGACTCCGGACACTCACATTGTGCCCGTGTGACCCTCCTCCCTGCAGCGAGGCCCACGCCGCCACCCCGGAGCCCGGCCCGCGGTGCGGACGGTACGTACAAAGCAGTCGGTGTCCTGAGGGCCGGAGCAGCCCCCCGCACACTCGTCGTGGCAGCACTGGTTGGGGTCGGGCCCAAAGCAGTGGCCGTTGCACTGAGGCGCACAGATGGTCTTGGTCACTGCGGGAGGAGAGAGCTCGGCCGTCAGCGCTCTCAGCCCTGCGCGCGCTCGGAGGCCGCTGCTCACCCGCTTGCCCTCCGGGCTCCTCCCTACCCACCCTGGTGACCCAGCGGGGGAGGGCAGGGACACGAACGGGAATGAATGTCAGGGTTTTAGAGGGGAGTCAACGCACATGTCTGGCAGTCTTTGGGTCCGGGACCCCAGCATCGCCCCTTGCAGACCTCATGACACGGCTCACCTGGTTGGGAAGGAAAGCAACATAAGAGGCCATCAAGAATGAGAGAGAGAGACCTGCTTGAATCACCAGGGAATGATGTCAGCCTTGGGCCCCAGAGTGAGTCCCAGGAAGCGCAGGGCCGGGGCAGCGCCCCTCCTGGCCCCGAGAGCAGGGTGGGGCTCAGTGAACCTGTCAACAAGGGGCGGGGCCACGCCGCCCACAGGGCAGCCCGAGGGGAGGGTCTGGGCCAATGCCAAGCCCAGCCCCAGGTCCAGCCCGGCACTTGGTTCCTCTTGGCAAACCGAACCCAGGAGGGCTGTGCGTGCGAGTGGACAGGCAGGGGTAGTAGGCTCTGAGGGAAGGGGAGGCTGATGTTGTGGGAAGTGGAACAGGTGGAACCCCACCGAGTGCGGAGTCTCCGGCCCCTTTTCCTGGCACACGGCTCTGCGGTCTGGAACCCTGGGGGCCGGCCCGCTCCCTCCTGGCAGGCTCCTCGGGCCCAGGGCCTGAGGTGTTTGCTCAGTGGAGGGGAGGGTTCAGATCAGGGACGATGACGGGAAAGGAGTCACTCTGGTTTGGTGGGGCCAGGGGAGCAGCCTCGGTCAGGGCCACTCACAGCTCCTGCCGTTGTCCTTCACCACGATCTCGGCGTCTCGGTCCCTCACGATGTCCCTCCAGTCGATGGTGTCCATGTGACAGAGTTTGTCGTTCTTCTCGATATACACGCCCCCGGACAGAATCTCTGAGAGGGGGAGGGAGCGGTGACGGGGTTAAGGGCTGCCCAGGCCTCCTTCCCCAGCCTCCCCCCTGTCCAAACGCCCCCACCCCCGGGCCTCAGGGGCAGGGAAAGGGCCCCCCCCCCCATGTGTCCAACTAAATTCAAAATGCAGGGGAGGAGGGGGAGGCGGAGCCAGGCTGAAGGAAACGCCTGCCTCTCAGACACCTGTTCAGATCCGGTTTAGCCAGTGGGGGTGGGGAGGGAAAGGGAGTGAGGATTCCTGACTCAACACCCCACCCCCTTCCCTACCTGTGTGTTTTTCAACTGACGGGACAGGGAGAAGCAGGAGGCGGCCAGGTGGTATTTAACCCCTGTATTCCTCCAGCTTGTGGGGAACTGTGGGGGGCGGGGGGGGCATCCTAATTCTGGGAAGGACGCAGGGCAGGGCAGGGCACTGTGCTTTGAAGTCGGAGGAATGTGGCTAACAGACCCAGCTCAGTTCCAGCCCCGCCAGGACATAAGGGCCCTGAAGGGCTGGTGGCCTCTGAGTGGGCAGAGCGAGCAGCCCGGGCTGCCCCGGGAGGCACTGCGGGCAGGCTGAGGGGCTGGAGCAGGCACCCCGGGCACCTGTGAGCTGGGTGAAGCGGAGCTGGCGCAGCGCGCGGCTGGAGTTGGTGTTGTAGTTGAGCATGACGAAGATGGCGAACTTGCCGTCGTACGCCTGCGTGCCCCGCACCACGCGGAGGTTGGGCAGTGGCAGCGTGGAGAACTCGTTCATGGCAACGAGGACGTAGCCCGTCACCTCTCGGATCCACTGCGACGGAGCCGAGGGGCCGGGGAGAGGGGGGACACGGGGCAGGCGTCTCAACCCCCTTCCCTCCGGAGGCAGCGGGAAGCCCTGCTCCTCCCCCCCCCCCTGGCCTCCCACCCGCTCCTCCTCAGAGGTCCTCACCCCCTTCCCCAGGAGCCTCTCAGTCTCAGGTGCTTCTCTGCACCAGCCTCCGTGTAGAACGCCCTCCGCCCCCGCCCCCGCCCCCGCCCGCCAGCCCTGGTGTGTCCCTGGTGACAGAGACCACACCACAGGCCGCAGTCAACTGTCCCCACACACCCGCCAACTTGGGACTTAGGTCTGAGAAAGGCTGACCTCCAGCAGGGGTGCCTGGGGGAGGGGAGGAGGGGGACGGGCTGAGGGAGGGGGGGTCAATGTGAGCTTTGTCTTTAAAGCTGCAAGATAAGGAGCTGGTTGCCCACCCGGCACCCCACTTCCTAACCTGCAGGAAGGAGAGGTCAGCGTTGTGTCCCGTGAGCACGATCTCCAGGTTTCCCATCACCACCTCGCACCGCTCGTACTGCTTGTGCAGCGTCTGGTACTGGTTCTCGGCGTCGCCCGTCACACTCAGGCCGTTCAGCGTCCCGGGACACACTGTTCAAGGCGGAGGCGGGAGTGGCCGAGGGCCGGACACGCGGTGTCACCCCGTCCCCCGGGCCCCCCTCGTGGTCGCCCTTTCCCAGGGGTGTTCCCCAGGGTCGGGAGGCAGCCTCACCCCTCACCCCCTCAGCGAGACGCCAAGGCCTTTGTGGTCCGTCTGAGGGCCTGGGCTTCCTTTCCTCAGCAGCCCCCTCACCGCGCCCCTGAACGGGCAGGTGAAAGGTTCCCTCCCCGCACCAGCCCGCCTCTGTGCCTCTCCCGGCTCCCAGGGGGTTAATCAAGGAGGATGTAGGGCTTTTCCCCCTCCCCGGACAGAAGTCAGAAAAGGACACAACTTGGTCACCCTCCTCCTCTGCCCCTCCCCCCTCCAACCAGGGCACTCACTTCTCTACCCCCAGCCGGGCCGGCCTCTAAGTCCGGGAATAAATATCTCTTTGGGGCGAGCACACAGCCCCTATTGTGTCTGCCCAGGGTGGGATGGGGGCAGCGCCTGGGGCCACAGCCCAGCCCACAATGAGGCGATTCTGTATAGGGGGAGGGGGCTGCCCCACCCTGTCCCCAGACGCCCTGTCCCCCAGCACCCCCTCCACCCTCAAGTCTTGGGCTCCGACAAGTGATCTCACTAGAGGGGGCGGGGGGGGGGGCGCTGGGGCTGGTGGTGGGGTCAATGTGAGCTTTGTCTTTAAAGCTGCAAGATAAGGAGCTGGTTGCCTACCCCGCACCCCATTTCCTAAACTCTGATTTCCCTTCTCCCTTCTCCCAGCCCCACACGCCCCGGCCCCCTCAGCATCGCACTCTCCAGCCCAGAGTGCTTTTCGGCAAATGCAGAGAGGCTGGAGGGAGACCAGCAGCCACTCCTCGTGCTCAGCCAGTGTTATTGTCAGAAGATTCATTAAAAAGCCTTCCAACATGGCAGCCGTCACAGGCAGGAGGCAGAGCCGAGACTCGAGGTCCATGGGGCCTGTCGGCCTCGCAGGACCTAGAAGCCAGAGGAAGCCTTGGCCCTGAAGCCCTGACTCCCATCTCTCTCCTCTGGCTCCTGAAAGACTGGGGGGGAGAGGGGGTACCACCTGTTCCAACCACCCTCCTGAGGCGGTGGCCGCTTCAGAGGGAGGCGGGAGTGGCAGTGCAGGGAGGGTGGGAAGCTGGTGAGGCCCCAACTCCTTCTCTTAGAGACACCCTGACCTCTGAGGGCACATTCCCTGTAACTCCCCCAAAGGGAGGGACAGACAGGCAGTGCCCAGAAGAGCCTGGAACCCCAGGAGGGTCCATGGGCTGAAAAGAGAGTAGGGCTGAAACCGGTTTGGCTCAGTGGATAGAGCATCGGCCTGCGGACTGGAGGGTCCCCGGTTCGATTCCGGTCAAGGGCATGTACCCTGGTTGCAGGCACATCCCCAGTGGGGGGTGTGCAAGAGGCAGCTGATCGATGATTCTCTCTCATCGATGTTTCTAACTTTCTATCCCTCTCCCTTCCTCTCTGTAAAAAATCAATAAAATATATTTTAAAAAAAAGAAAGAAAGAAATTGAGTAGGAAGGTTAGTCATTTCTGGAACAGCCCCACCCTCACCCCCTTCCCGGCAGGACACCCCCTTTTTCAAGTCAAGGCGCCAACCCTTCTCTCTAGATAAGGGAGGAGCCAGGATCACTGCACAGGGAAGTGGTGAGTGTGAGTGTGCACACGTGCACGCACGCGCACGACACACACACACACAGAGGGCCGTGCACCCAGCTCCCCTCTGGCCCAGAGTCTGTCCTGGCTCTGCCCTGGCTTCTCTATAGGAGGTGTTTCGTCTCCGGCGGCGCCCTCCACTGCCCCCTGTGCGGACTGGGAGTCCGTGTGCCTGGGAGGCCAGCCCGCCACCCCAGGATAAAGTCCACACACAGGGAGCAAAGGGCCGGCCGCGCGGGAAGAGCAGGAACACCTCTGAGGAGGAACCAGGGAGCCTGGGGGAGGGGAAGCACAAAAATCCATTCAGGACTCAGGGACCAGGGGCACAGGAAGGGGCACTGTCACAGGCCCTCCTCTGATGGAGAGCCTGGGGTAGGTCACAGCAGGAATCCCCAGCCCCTCCTCAATCAGAGGCCTCCTCCCCGGCGGCCCCCACCCCCCTCCCAGCCGGGACAAAGGGGCTATAGAAGGGCTGAGACAGGGCCGGATGCCCAGAGACGGCAGGGTCCAGATAAGGGGTAAAAACACCCCGCCATGCCTGCCCCCTGGCTCCCTCGGGGGAGGTGGCCAGGCTCTCAGACTCCTGGGTTCCCGGTGGAAGGTGGCGAGGATCTGGCGGGGACAGTGACGGTCCCTGTGCTCTGTCCCTCCTCCTCCAAGCCCCATGCCCCCCGCCCCCCACCACCAGCTGGGAGTGTTCACATCTCAAGATCCCAGGGTCTAAATTTAGGCCCAGCAACTGTGGGAGAAGCACAGGTGCTTCCTCCCACTCCCACTCCGGGGTAAGGGGCCCTGGATGTGTCAAACCCCAAGCTGAGATCTAGGGGGAGGGGAGGGGAGGTCAACAGGCCAGCAACCCCAACATCCACGGTCCCAGGGACCCCAAAGGCGTGGGCTCCGACGGCATGGGAGTGGGAGGAGGAACAGAAGAGCAACCTGACTCCTCTGGACTCCTGGAGACAGAGACAATAAACAGAATGGGGGTAAGGGAGAAGCCAGTGGAGGAAGGTCCCCCAGGACGTGAGGCTATGAAGGTGGGGGGCGGGGGCGGGACACACGCCCTGTTAGCCCTCAGGTTGGGAGAGAAAAGACAAGCAGCGATAAATACAGGCCAGAAGTCCCTGACCCTCCAGCTCCTGGCTCTGGGCTTGTACATAGTAGATGCTCAATAAACGGCAATGGCTTTGACAAAGGGGCTATAGAAGGGGAGAGGCTGGGGGTGAAGGGGGGCCAGCCAGCTCTCACTCCGGGGGGAGAAGCCGGCCCCCTCCGCAGGGCCTCTCCCCTGATGTCACCTGGACTTGGCTCCTGGCTCGGCCCTCCCAGGGCAGGCGCCCTCGCGGAAGGAGGTGCCACCCTTGTTTTCCCAGCTCAGGAGAACAACAACCCCCACAGCTCCGCCCTGCCGGCAAAACAACAAAACTGGTGGTGGATGGAAACCTGGGGATGGGGGGGCCCGGAGGCCGGGCGCACACAGACCCCACCTTTCTCCGAAACCTCCACCTCCAAGCACCTCGCGTTTACAAGTGAGCTGTACACAGAACTCCGCTCCCCTCCCGCCCCCCCCAGAACGAGGGGCCCCCCGGTTTGGGCACCGGCCCTGCCCTAAGGAACAAGTGAAGGGGTCCCTGGGGAGGAGGTGCTGGCGCGGGTGGTGCAGGGGGTGGCGTTGGCGACCCCACCAGGACCACCCTGAGAATCCGAGCCGGACGGTCCGCACCCCGGGGCCCCCGCGGCGCCTGGGCCGGCACCCCGCCCCCGCTGCCCCGGGACTCACTCCCCCAGGATCCGCGCCCCGGGTCCGGGGTGGGGGAGCCCGGGTCCGAGGCGGCGGACGCTCCCGCGCGCTTACCTGCCTGCGAGCTGCCCACGTCGGAGCCCCGGGCCAGGCCGAGGAGGAGGCCCAGCACCTGCAGGGCCCGGGGCGCCCTCATGCCGCCGCCGCGGATGGCCCGGGGCCCCGGCTACCGCATCGGACCGGCCGCGGAGAGCCGGGACGGGGGACGCAGCGCGGAGTGAGCCGCAGCCAGCGGAGCCGGCGGGACGGCGGAGGGTGTGTCCGGGAGGAGGCGGGGGGCGGGGGTGAGTCACGGCCGCGCCCCCGCGGGCCGGAGGCTGGAGCCGGGGCTGCGGGAGCCCCGCCGCGGCGCCCGCGCCCCCCGCCCCGCGCCAGGCCAGGGAGGGGCTCACCCCACGTTTTCTCCGGGAGCCGGGCTCAGGGGGGGTCCGCACCCCAACACCCCAAACGCCGCTGCGGGCAGGTGGTGGGGCGGAGAGCGCCGAGCCCGCCCCTGGCCTGGCCGCGCCCACTAACCCGAGCGCTCAACTCCCCGGGCCGGTTGGGCCACTTGGGGGGTGTCCTCTCCGAAACGAGACTGTTCCTCTCGGAACTGGGGGGGCTGGGAGGGCTTCCTCATGGGAATTGGGGGGGGGGGCTGGGGGAGTGCTCCCTCTTGCTCAGGGCCCCTCGGAAGCCCCCCGAACCCCCATCCTCCATCCTCCCGCCGAGGAACCCGAGCCCCAAGGCCGCGTGAAATCGCGCTGTCTCCGGCCGCTGCCTCCGCCAGCCCCGGCGCCGGGGCCTCTCCGGGGACCGGGTGGGGGCGGGGGCGCCCCAGCCTGGGAAGGCCGAGCCGCCTCCGCCCCCGGAGGGGCGTCCGCACCTGTCGCCGCCCCTCTGCTGCCCCCCTCGGCCGCCGCGGAGAACAGCTGCCTCCCCCGCGCCCGGCCGCGCCGACGGCGCCTGAGCCTGGGCTCCGCGGACTGAGCGCCCCGGCCCCCGCAGCCGCCCGGTCCCCCCGCAGCCGCCCGGTCCCCCCCGCAGGCGCCCCGTCCCCCCGGAGGCGCCCCGGCCCCCCCTGGAGGCGCCCCGTCCCCCCGGAGGCGCCCCGTCCCCCCGGAGGCGTCTCGTCTCCCCCGCGGGCACCCCGACCCCCCACCCCCTCGCAGGCGCCCCGGCCCCCGCAGGTGCGCACATCTTCTCGGCTCCCGCCTGGCCGGGAGGCAGAGGAAGGGCCGCGGAGGGGGCGGCAGAGATGGCACCGAGCACGGCGTCCGCGGGTGGCCCGGACCCCGGCCCCTCCGGCACCAGCCACCCCGCGTCCTGGCCGGGGCGGTCGGGGGCACCGCGAGCCGCGGCCCCCAATGCGGCCAGCCTGGGCACGGGCCGCGGGTCGCCCCTGGTGCCAGCCCGCTGCAGGGAAGCCCCACAGTGGGTGTTCCGGATCGCGCCCAGAGAACCCAATGATTCTCTCCGGTTTCAAGCCTGAAGACATCAGGAACAGTTGAGCCCTGGCCAGTGTGGTTCAGTGGATAGAGCATCGGCCTGTGGACTGAGGGCTTCCAGGTTGGATTCGGGTCAAGGGCACATGCCCGTGTTGCGGGCTCGATCCCCTGTGGGGGGCGTGCAGGAGGCAGCCGATCAGTGGTTCTCTCTCATCATCGATGTTTCTCTCTCCCTTCCTCTCTGAAATCAATAAAAAATATATTAAAAGTAAAAAATAATGAACTAACCGGTTTGGCTCAGTGGATAGAGCATCAGCCTTTGGACTGAAGATCCCAGGTTTGATTCCAGCCAAGGGCATGTGCCTGGGTTGCGGGCACATCCCCAGTGGGAGGTGTGCAGGAGGCAACTGATGGATGTTTCCCTCTCATTGATATTTCTTTTCTTTAAAAAAAAAATATATATTTTATTGATTTTTAACAGAGAGGAAGGGAGAGAGATAGAGAGCTAGAAACGTCGATGAGAGAGAAACATCGACCAGCTGTCTCTTGCACACCCCCTACCGGGAATGTGCCCTTGACTGGAATCGAACCCGGGACCTTTCAGTCCGCAGACCGACACTCTACCACTGAGCCAAACCGGCTTCGGCTCATTGATATTTCTAACTCTATCCCTCTCCCTTCCTCTCTGTAAAAAATCAATAAAATGTATATATCCTTAAAAAGAACAGTTGAGCCTTCGTGAAGAAAAAGTTCGCCTGTAGCTAAAATAGTTAAAACTTCCTGGGTATCACGAGGGCCTGTGCCCTGCCGAAGGCTTACCTTTGCTCTGGGCGTTGGCCTGGTCCTGCCGACCTGCATAACAATCCTAATGCAGCAATAACAACGTCAGTGAGACATTAACATATACAAGCGCCAGCCACCTTTCCGACAACTTAGAGAAAGTCCCACTTAACATAAAAATGGTGTGCACTCGCCAGACATCTGTCTGAACTTTATGGAACTGCAAATGTGTGGCTTCTCCGAGGTCAGCCACTTGGTGACTGAGGGTGGGTGAGGAGGGCAGGCTCAGGTTTTTGCCTAAGATTTCTTTCTTTGTTTTTTTTTTTTTTTTTAAATATATGTTTCTTTATTGATTTCAGAGAGGAAGGGAGAGATGGAAACATCAATGATAAGAGAGAATCAGTGATCGGCTGCCTCCTGCTCGCCTCCTGCTAGGAATGGAGCCGGAAACCTGGGCATGTGTCCTTGGCCAGAATCAAACCTGGGACCCTTCAGTCCACAGGCCAACGCTCTATCCACTGAGCCAAACCGGCTAGGGCTGGGATTTCTTATGTCACACTGAGACCGGAGCTTCATCTGCTTAGAATCAAATCCCCATCAGATAACTGAGCTAAATACTAGGGTAAGGAGCCTTTCATTTTATTACTCACCATCTCAACCTGGTGCTCAAGGCCCTGATTCTGAAGGAGGAAACCCCTTTTAGTTTTTGTTCATAAGACAGTGGTATCTATGTATTAAGGTTGCTGTTCAGATTTAATGAGGAAAGGCAGGTAAAGCTCTTAATTACTGTGTTACGCTGGGCCTCTACAAGCATTCGATAAATGCTTGCTGAATGTATTCCTACTATCGCCAACCTCTCCCTTCTCCCCTCCCCAACTACATCCCACGGTGTGTTTGCTGGTATCCATTCTTCAAACATAGAGAAACATCCAGCTCAGAGCATCAGGGATATAACCCTGGATAAAGCTGACAAGTAAGGGGATATCTCAGTTGGGTGTTACCCTGACTAAATAAATAAAGGGAGCCTTTGTTTTTTGTATATTTTATTGATTTTTTTACAGAGAGGAAGGGAGAGGGATAGAGAGTTAGAAACATCGATCAGCTGCCTCCTGCACACTCCCTACTGGGTAATGTGCCCACAACCAAGGTACATGGCCTTGACTGGAATCGAACCTGGGACTCTTCAGTCCTAAGGCCAACGCTCTATCCTCTGAGCCAAACTGTTTAGGGCAAGGGAGCCTTTGTTTACAAAAGCTCTCTGAACTTATCCAGCAGCCTTTACTTTTTTTTAAATTTATTTTTTTTTAATTTTTAAATTAAGGTGTTATATATATACATATCTTACATTGCCCCCCCCATTGCCATACATGCTCTTCCTCCCCAGAGTTTTGTGTCCATTGGTTACGTTTTTATGCTCTTTTTTTTTTTTTTCATTTTTATTTATTTATTTATTTATTTTTTAAATCAATCTTTATTGTTCATATTATTACAAAGGTTCCTCATTTCTTCCCCCCTCCACCAGGTTCCCACCCCACCCTCTGCCCCCTCCCCATCCCCCATTGTCCTCATCCATAGGTGCAGTTTATGTTCAGTCTCTTCTTCCCTCAATTTCCCCGATAGTAAATCCCTTTTCAGATAGTAAATCAGTTACTTAGCATTTTCTCATATCAATAATACCTCCACATGCCCAATGATACACTTCACACAAAAGACATTTCCCAATAGGTCCACCAGCCTCATCCAGGCCCCACCCAAGGCACTCACAGATCAACACCCCAGCCCTATACTAACTCAACACATTCAGATCTAAGCCTTCATCACTTGATTCAGCAGACCCTCAAGTTCCCACGAAAGTTTCCAGCCATGTCTGAGAAGCAGCTGTGGGGCAGGGGCAGGCAAGGAGCGAGCTGTTCCGGGCCTGGCTGCTCAGGGCCTGGCCTCTGTTGCTCTGGTTCGTTCCACAACCAACTGCTCCGGGTCTGGTCACTGCCGCTCCCGACCTAGTTGCTCTGGACTTGGCTGCTGCTGCTCTGGGCCTGGCCGTACCCGACCCGGCTGCTCCCCCGGGCCTGGCCGCTCCCAGCCTGGCAGCCGCTGCTCCGGGCCTGGCCGCACCCGACCCGCCTGCTCCCCCGGGCCTGGCCGCTCCCAGCCTGGCAGCCGCTGCTCCGGGCCTGGCCGCACCAGCCCCGCCTGCTCCACCGGGCCTGGCCGCTCCCAGCCTGGCAGCCGCTGCTCCGGGCCTGGCCGCACCCGACCCGCCTGCTCCCCCGGGCCTGGCCGCTCCCAGCCTGGCAGCCGCTGCTCCGGGCCTGGCCGCACCCGACCCGCCTGCTCCCCCGGGCCTGGCCGCTCCCAGCCTGGCAGCCGCTGCTCCGGGCCTGGCCGCACCAGCCCCGCCTGCTCCCCCGGGCCTGGCCGCTCCCAGCCTGGCAGCCGCTGCTCCGGGCCTGGCCGCACCTGACCCAGCTGCTCTGGGCCCGGCTGTCCCGGGCCCGGCCGCTCCGAGCCTGGCCACTCCCGACCTGGATGCTCTGGGCTTGGCTACTGCTGTTCTGGGTCTGGCTGCTCCCACCCCGGCTGCTCTGGGCCCGGCTTCTCCGGGCCCGGCCACTCCGGGTCTGGGTGTTCCTGGACTGGCCATCCTGGGCTTGGCCGCCTCCGCCTCATGCCTGGCTGCCACTGCCCCAGGTCTGGCTACTCCAGTGCTGGCTGTTGATGCTCTGGTTCTGGCTGCTGTTGTTCTGGGGCCTGGCCGTTGCTGCTCTGGGTCTGGCTGCCACTGCCTTGTGCCTGGCCACTCTAGGCCTGGCCGTCGCTGTTCCAACTTTCTGTCCTTTTTTTTTTCTTTTTAAAACGCATTGATGTTGCAATGTTGGCTGGTGAGTTGAGTTCTGACTTAGTCTTTGATTTTTCAAGATCTTCTTTG